GTTAAATGTAAAGCTGGAAATGAAAACCATTTACCCTCCTTACCAAAATGCAGTATTATGTTGTATTTTTAACTGCCATTTGTACATTACTGTTGGCCTCTGTAATAATTGATAATACAAATAAAGGCTTCCTGAGGAGGAATACAGAAATCTGATTCAGGATCAGGTCTGATATAGCCTGATTAAGCAGAACTACTTGCACCTATGTAACTAATCCAGCGTAGATTTGCACTATCAGGATAGATCAGGATGCTAGACTTATTTGTTAAAAATGTTTTCCACGTTGTGAGGAATAAAGATGAAAGATTTGGGCAAAAAGACAACACTGATAAGGTTTCGGTGCTTAGATTAGCAGATAGAATGACCTTGAGTGTCAGACACAGACTTGCCAAAGACTTGTGAATTGAATTGATGGCAATAAATAATCCTGTTTCATAGCTGTATCTGACAGACTTGCTTTAGTAAAGATGTTCTGCTGTGTAAGTCAAGCACTCTACTGTGTGCACTGAAATTTGCTACAATGGCAGGAAATGACATCATAGTTAATGACTTGTTCCTCCTTGGGGCATGCACACAAGGACACACACTCGTGCACACACCCCCTACACACTTACACAGAGCTACCTTCGGTCATGTAGGTCACTGGTGCAACGTGTCAGCCAGTGATGAATGGAAGTGGAACATAGTGATTCCCACTAGTGTGTATGTATTTTGTGTGTGTGTGTGTGTGTGTTTATGTATGTATTGTATGAGGGTGTGTGTTTGGGTGTAAGTCTGCTTACTCCTCAACACAACCAAAATGATCCTATGAAGAACCACTGTCTTGTTCCCTCTGATCTCTCAAAGTGTATGACTGAACTGCAGAAGAACAATTACAACCTCAGATACTGTAAATAAGTATCCCCTTTTCTTTGCGTGTGCGTGTGCGTGCGTGTGCGTGCGCGTGTGTGTGTCGGAGCAGACAGTCAGTGAAATTACATTGTAGTGAGTCAGAGAAATAGAGAGACAGAAGTAATTGTTAGGCTGTAACGTGAAGTAAAAAGGAGTCGCAAGATGTGTGAAAACACATTCGAGTACAACACATACTGATTTTTTTACAGTGCGCTGCACATCCTGACTGATTAATCATCCAGCCGATAATATCGGCCTATATTAGCTTATCAAGTGATGATCGTATCGGCTAATTTTACTGCAGATATGAGCCGATATTACTAGATTCATTCACCAGTCAAATAGCATTTCATTTGATTATCTTTATATCACACTAGCAGTTCTCTTTCACCAGCAGAGTTTACAACAAGCATTATCACTCTCCACAGTGTCAAGCGGTGATAGACGTAAATGCACAGTTACTTTCCAGTTGAGTGACCATCTTGTGCTCATTGTGTGATCCGCAGTGTTTGATCCGCATTTGCGCAACCAACTGATAAATGTGTATATCTATACCTGTCTATCTCTACAGATTGAACAGATCTAAGAGAGATCATCAGACCCAAAAATACCATATTGGTCTGGCCCTAGTTAGCTTCAAAGGCACCCTTAGAAGTAGGCCTCTTTTGTCCCTCATTTTCTCGTCTATTTGTTCATCTGTCCGCCTTTTATTATATCTCAGAGCAGACACCAAATGCACTTTGTTCAGCAATACAAATATTGATGTGTATGTGTTAATAGATCAGTTTAACATTTTAAGAAATATGTATATCTTAATTCTTTATCAAATTTAGAGAACACGCTCTGATAACTCGTGTCTGAATATCAAACATAAAGTCCACAAGCAATGGTCGAAAATATCTTCACCATAACTTCTCGCGTGGCAGATTGTCTTCAAACAGTGTTACAGGACCAAATTTTCCTCTGAGGACAGTTTGTGTAAAGAATTCTGAACATAAACCACTAAATCTGTAAATTTATCAAACTTTTACATTACTGTCCAAAAACTCCTTAATGCACCTTTAATGTATTTTGTTCGCCCCTTAAATTGTCATTTTACAGTGATGCAGTAGGATTGATTTTGCCATGTTACTATTGTCATTGCTTAAAGTTTTCATTGTGTACTAATTTATCCCATATAATTGATACTCTGACATTGAGTTGAGTTTAACAACTTCAACATTAAACTGACATTAGGCCAGAAACCCTGCGTATATGCGATTCTTTGAAGACAATGCAAAGAGATAAATTAATTCCGTGTTGTGTATAGATTGACTTGATTCTGGTTAAAACTGGTCGTGAAGTATAAAAGTTTCACAAGCCAGGAATACTTGGCGAGAGACAATGAGATCGAGACTGACATCAGTGTCTTCTTGTCAAATAATATGACCTCATCTCTTGATTCATGCACAGACAAAAACAGCCAGTCATCATAGATCACATGGAGGCGCACACACAGATCAGCAGTGAAACACCTGGTTACGAGCCGGGGGTATGGCATCATACGCACGCACGCACGCACGCACACACACACACACACACACACACACACACGTTTGCAACTTTAAACCATTGCTGCTGAGGTCAAATGTGGGTATAAAGCAACAGTGTCTGTCTGCCTTTGTGTAGACGTATATGTGTCTGTCTGTGTAATTAGTCACCACCAGCAGACACACTCTAGTAACAAAGGGTCATTGAAGAGGGTCTCTGCCTGACTCTCTGTAATTGTCTGGCAAAGTGTTTTTTTCTGTTTTAAAACTCTTGCTGTTCGGATAATTAATGCATTTAAACAGGTTCCAGTACCACAGAGATTTTGTTAAGATGCCAAAACAAACTTATACTGACTGTTAAAACAGCAAATGTGTTGGTATTTGTAGATTTTTTTGTAACATTTATCTAGTTTGTCTCCCAGTCAAAGGGACAATAAAAAGTTTTGGTACTTTATGATAACAAAAAAGAAATCAGGTTAAGCACAGAGTCACAATTAACCCTCTCAGCAAACACAGTGGCTAATTTACTGAAAGAAAAACCATGCAGACTGACTTCAGCCTGATATGATAACATCATTTGAAAATGCTTTGGCACTAGAGGGCGATGTTAACACACCAGCGTATGAGTTTCATTTGCGCAGGAGGGAGGGATTCAGAGGGATGGAGTTTAGATCCACCTCCTGAATGAGAGTCAGAGTATACCAGCGGCGTTGTGTGTGTGTGTTGTGTGTGTTGTGTGTGTTGTGTGTGTGTGTTTGCGTGTGTTTGTGTGTCATCTTGGCCTACTAATCCAGTGGCCCATTAATCTGCTTTACTCCTGAGCGACTCTCGTCTTGTCTGTCGGCCTGTTTGCTTGCTCGTGTTGGAGAGAGACTGTGACTCTGTCCTGGCTCATTACATTGACTTTGTGTCAAGTGTCTCCTGGCAAATTTAGTGTAACATACTGAATATAATATTCCAAGAGTCCGCAAAGGGATTAAATGGTACTTTGAGCACATTTTATGGCTGGTATCTGCGGGCATTAACAGTAAATGGGACAGTGTGACAACAGATTTCTGCCTTTCAACAAGATCATTCATGCTCTAAAATGCTGACTTCTTCCGTGTCCTCTGACTCTTGTCATTCAAGACAAAAATGCTACACATAGAAGAAGTGTCTTAAAAACTGACGATATAAACCAGCATTTGATTGTGTCTCCCATATTCAAAAGCCATTTAATTAATCTGAAACAAGTTTAATGACTGAAAACTCCAAACACACCTGAGCTATGACAGTGGCTATGATTTGGGCTTACATTGTCAGATGCATTGTATTTTCCTGAGCGTGCACCAAATGAAATTGAACTGCATTACATTCTTTAAACCAAGCTGGAATTCTGCGATCGTTGGTGTAAAAGCTGACATTCAAGTTTTACTCAGCTGTGAGGGTTGGTGTAGCCCCCCCCCCCCACCAACCTGCCCATGTTCCCAAGGACGACTTATATGAAATTCATTGATGAATATGTAAAAGTGTTCACATCTGCGGATGCGATACGTACAAACAAAAGCCATGTGGACTGAATCAGTTCCTGAAGTATGCTGTTTGAAAGATTTGCACAAATGTAACATCATATTTCAGTTATCACAACAGTTTATTTTGAGTGTTTACCAGAAATCACACTATGTATTTTTTATTAATTTTTAGGTTATGCCAATTGGTTAGTAAACAATTCTGCCTCTAAATATTAGAATTTAGCAGGAGCTTCATTTCTTTGTATCCTTGCATGAGATTTGATTACAGTTTAAAGTGATTATATATGCACCCCTGACAAAGTCAATATAACTTTTGTCTATTATTCTCTTTGTCCGTCTATTTATGTCATTTTTTTTGTTTCCTAAAGATGGATGATTTGTTGATTCAAGAGTATTGCATTATGACTAATTGAGCTGCTCCTCAGGGGTGCATTCGTGTCAGACAGGCTGGATAGCCAAAGGCAACACAGCTCTCACACACAATGTTTACATAACCCATAGGCATACTCCTCTCCCTCATGCACCAGCTCTGCTTCTTTTGTCCCATATGATTCACTCTGTACTCTTTTCTCTTTTCCATTTCATCACAGTTCTTTTTCTTTTCATGAAGTTGGTTCATCGTTTCATCATGCCTGCTCTCTGGTCTTTACATCCTGACTTGTTCTCCCTCTGGCTTCTGTACATCTGGCTTCATCTCTCCCCCTCCATCCCTCCCATGGGAGACAAAGACCCCCCCCCCCTTCCCTGCCCCCTGCCTCGTATTCCTTCCTCTTCTTCTCTCTTACATGAGTCCCTCCCCCCTTATCACAGTCATAGACCGCCTACTGCTCTTCTGCCCCTTTCCCTCCCCTTCTCAACTCCCACTCGTGCTGCTGTGTATTTGTGTGTCAGTATAGTATAGCGGTAGTTGTTGTAGTAGTAGTGGGAGGAGGAGGATGAAGCTGGGCTGTAAGCTTAATCCGACATTAGCCATCATTAATGAGTTAGCTGGCTAGCATCTAAACGCAAGTCCAAAAACCACAGAAGCCCGGGATTCTGGCTTTTCTCCAATTAAGCTGTTTGTCAGCGAGGATTACTCTTCTCTTCTCTTCTCTTCTCTCTGTACTATACTCTTTTGGACTTTAAATGGAAGGACTATACCATGGTAAGAGTTTCCTTTCACAGTGGTGGATGTGTGTATATGTGGAAAGTTACATGTGGGAAACCATGCTAAGTTTGCATATATATTTATGCATGTTTTAAGTATGTATTATTTATAAATGAGCATAAACCACATTTGTGATTTCTTTCTGTGATATCTAAAAATGCTTAATGTGTTGCCATAACTGTCTTAAGAAAATACTGATGATGTGTGCATTTTGTGGGACTGGACGATGATCTTAAATAGAAGGTGCAGTAGTAAAAAAATGTATTGCTATCATAAAAAATACAAAATAAATATGATTGTTTAATAATTGCGTTACTTGTAAATGTAATGATATCAAGAACTGGAGGAAGAAATCGGTTGCAAAACTGCTAAATAAACACGCTACATGAAACTATGTTTTTTTAACTTCCGTAGGAAATTATTTAGCAGATATACCAACATTTATTCTGGATTCAAACCCTGTGATGATTTAAAACATTTATGGATTTTGAACTTTTCGGCAAGAGAATTAGATATTTGAAGGTGCTTTCTCAAGTTCTTGGTCGTTGTGACAGGAATGTTATCGACCATTCTACCAGTTAAGTGAATGAAACAGCCTTTCATTCAGAAGTTAAACTTAGAGCTACCTGCAGCCTCGGGGTTTCACGACTACTGAAGTGATTATGTGTGTGGAAAACGGAAATGTAGGAGTTTATAGTTGGAGGTTCAAATGGAAGTGAGCATGTTCAGTCAAGGGGTTACGGCTAGTGAGTGTGTGTGTGTGTGTGTCCTTGTGTGAGAGAGGGAGGCGGTATGAGAGAGTTGTGTCAGGTTTGTGGGCTGTGTTTGATGAAAAAAGCCTGAGTGGCTCTGCACGTAGGTAGCTGTACGTGTGTATTTCTGTTTTGCTTTGTGTGTGTGTATATGTGTGGGTGTGTGTTGAAGTGTGTGTGAGTGTTGTTAATTTAGGCATGAAGGAACAATCCCCCTGCAGCGTTTTGTTTCTAGGTTGCATCATCTATATTTCAGTATGATTTAATATTTCGCTCTCTGTTCATAATTGATGGAAAATGCTAAACAAGAAGCATAGCCAACATAAACTCCTTCCTACCTAACACACACACAGACACACACTCACTCACATCAATATAGAAACATATTTAGCACATTACCTGCTGTTACATTGTGCAATTCAATTTAGCCTCAAACCGTTCAGATCTGATGATTGATTCTGTGTTTACCGTTTGAATATTTAAGGACGTGGTAAACATGTAAGGGCTTTTAAAGTCCTGAACTCCAGTCAAATACTTTTAACCTATCGGAGAGAGCCTTACATTTATCTTTATTCTTCCAAGACTCTTCATTTGGAAACGGAAATAGCTTCACCGACTCCTTCCTTTACAAGCATAGAGCAGAACATGTAAGGATGCGTTCATTAGCCAATCAGGGTTGAGCATTCATTTGAAGCCTTGCGAACCAGTTCCCTAGAGTTTGCGCTCATAAAAAGTCAATGAAGAATTACATATTTAGTGTTTCGTTTGATGTTCTTTTGATTAAAAAACATGTTTTTTTAGTGGTTAAAATATGTTTAAACTCACCATTAGGACTGCAGTAACATATCTATAAGCCAAATATTTATGATTAATTGAATAAACAGAGCCCGCTATCATTTAATGAAATCACTTCAGAGCCTACACTATCTCACCAGTTCATTCGTCCTAAATCTGCTGGGATGAATTATACATGGTGTATCTGGTCTGAGGGTGATACATTAACATGCGTGCCGCTCCAGTTAGCCGGTTAGCTGTATCACTGCACCTGAACTAAACACACTTGAGTGAATGTCTGTGTCGCAGTGTGTGTGCTTTTGCAGATAAGTGTGAATGAGCAGTCATGCGTTTACATGACCTTATTATGTTGCATGGGTGTTGGATTTTTTTCGCCATGTTCATCATCTGTGAGTGAATGTGTGCAACACATTTTTTTATTTAGTGTTATTGTGACAGGTTTTAAAAACGTTTGATGTTTATCTGAATGAGTAATGAGAACATGTGCGTCTGTTTGAATACATTATCTATACAGCTTACTGTGGCAGTATTGAGACAATACAAAACATTGAATTATCTTATGTGATAAAATAATAGTCTTTCCTGAATTGTGTCCAAACTGTGTCCAAATCTCCCCCTTGCAGAATATATATATTTGAAGGTGTGTGTAAAGTGTGTATGTGTGTTATTCAATACACTTGATGTATACTGCGACTGGGCAGGTGTGATTTGTGCCTCAGGGCTTGTGTAAGCCTGCACGCTCCAGTAACAGCCCATTGTCCAGAGGGTCACACACACCCACACCCAAACATTCAGGCGTGTGCCTGCTCAGCGTGAAGATCAACCGTTAGGCAAAGAGCAACAAGGCTGAACGTCCGACTGCTCATTGGATTTGTTCAGTTGATTCTTGATAGAAAAGTGATGGTTGGTTTTTTTTTGTATGAAAATAACATCTGTGTCTTTTCTCATCAGCCAGTTACATTTTTGCCGTTGCATTAAGCTGCACTCCGTTTTGCATAACTTCTCCAACTTTTACGTCTTTATTTAACACCACACATCAGATGTTTAAGTCCTCATCGGCTGTATTAGCAGAGCAACAAAAACATAAAGTGTTCTTAGAGAATATCTCTCCATCACAGGCCTAAGACACAATTCACATAGTTTAGGAAAGTTGACAGACACTAAAATCATGAAAACAAACATCCAGTTATGATGTTAAAACAATTATTTTTGCTTTTTGCTGAGTTTGTCTTGAGGGGAATTTGCGCTCAGAATGATCACACCACGTTCTCTGTTGAGTCCCTATTGCATGGTCAAATAAAATAAAAATGAAACGCTCTGACCTCCTTCAGACTGACCTTAGACCAGGAGTTCAGATTTGATTACAAAGCAGACTTTCTTGATTGTTCCGTCTAATTACTGTAACCAGAAAACCTGTGATTAACTTGTAATTATACACATCAAGCAGACATGGAGTCTGTGCAGTGTGTGTGCATCACTGTTTCTGTGTGTGTGTGTGTGTGTGTCTTTGTATGTGTGTGTGTGTGTGTGTGAGATGGGAGTATTTATCAGTCTGTAATGTTTGAGTTACAGCAGTTAATCTTGTTTTCTGTTTTGGTTCATGGACTTTAAGTGTGTACGGTGCTAACAGCTGAGCAAAAGTCACAGCAGAGTATTCATCTTGACTTCACCTCCTTCATAACACTGACGTGAATTAGAGAAAACTGCCATGCAAATTGAAATGGAAAAACGTGTTTAATAAATTCTAGATGAAAATGTCATTCTTAAAAAAAAAAAAGAAACACTCAGAGAAACACTTGAATGATGGATTTTTAGCTGGATGAACGCTACTCTTTTCTTTGCTCTCACTCCTCCACAGTAATATATTTAGATCACAAACTCACTGCACAATAAATTGTTGGTGTTACTAAGAGGGCATTGCGCAACAAACTTACCTTTGACAACACAAAATCACTTTTAAAACAATTGCTAAACAATTTGTGGGGTAGACGACAGTTCATCTGCTTAGGGAATAAATCTTTGCTCCTGTCGTGGGTGTCTCATTGTGGAGGACAGCTTGAGGAGCAGGTGTTTTGGGCTGTCTGCTAGTCTAGAGGGAAGTGTGTGTGTGTGTGTGTGTGTGTGCGCAAAAGACTCATGAGTGTCTTTGATATATGAGCAGTGGAGACAGTTAAACAGGCGGGTTTGCAATTAGCACCATACTAGCACCTCTGTGGGATAGTCAGTGGAGAAAAAAAGGAATCTTGCAAGCTATTGTCAGCACGTAGTGACACAAACTACAATTTATGAGTCCATCCTTAAAGTCTTATATTAGCTTGCTAATGGGTGAAATACAACTACATTTTTTTTTTAAACTAATTCATTGCAAAAAAAATCAATATTTTCTCCTGTCTAGTCTTGTTGCTCAGACATAAAACAGCCACAGTCTCTTCTCATTTCTAGTCTAGACTGTAACACCGCCAGTGTGGCTGCATATTCAGGCTACATAACACTTAACTTACATCAAACTCTGACAGGAGAGGCAGGGGAAGAGAGACAGTGAGAGGGAGCATAAGTGGGACAGATGGTGTGTGTAGAGTTCATCTGCTGCAGATCTTTTTACCATGGTCCATTACAGCCACTTATGATATGAATTAGTCATTGATTGTGACTTTTTAAAAAAATAATTTCATCATTGAAAGGTGATCCATGCTGACATATTGAGGTGAGATGAAATTCCAGGGCCGCTTTTACGTGATGGAAGTTGTCAGATCATCAAAAATTCAAATGCTTATGTAACAGACAATGTTTCACCTAAAATTATTAAAAAAATAATAATAAAAAAAAAAAAAAATCAGAGGAAAGTAAAGTGCACCGTGCATAGTTGATTGGTGTTATTTATAGTTATCTTCTTCCTTATAACCCCCATCACTGTTCACATATATGACTGCAGGGTCCTGGTTTCACATTACAAAGGGTCTGGTGATAACACACACCATGAGTCACCTTTCTGGTATTTCCTTTTATGTTCGAACCATTACATAATTTTTGTTGACAGCCCCTACTGTCATTTCACCCCGCGTATGTGTGTGTGTGTGTGCATCAGGGTGTCTAGAGCACTTAGACACTTATCCCCCTGACCTCAGCCTGCACACAGTACCTCCAGTGCGCTAACTGGGTGTCGAGTTTTCATTTGACTTCCTGTTGTGATTTGCGTGCTGCAGTATCGATGCAGCGCGAGCAGCTCACTATTAAGAGCAGGATCTATGTCTCTACAGTCAATTCATGATCAAAGAGTGTTTAGTGCTCATGTAGAGATTAGTCAACAACTCAACAACTTTGTGTTTTCTCTAAATTAGTGCTCAAAGAACATTAAAAAGGGTAATTCCACTTAAATTGTTGTTGCACTCCACAAGTTTATATCATGACATAGAATATATACTTGTACCATGCCTCATAATACGCTTACTTTGAGAAGTATTTGTACGATCAGAATGCACAGATTTAAAATATTTTAACAAGCCAAGCTATCAGGCACCCCCTTGCGTTTAGCGTCAATTAACCGATTTCCTTTGTTGTTATCCTCTCTTTTCTTTTTCTCTCACTGTAAACGAACCAACGTCAAATTAACCTGACTTCTTCCAGTACGTTGATATTGTAACAACAGAACATTGTAATTAGCAAATCAGAATCAAGTATTTAACACAGCCATGCAATAACAAAGAATAGTGACTTGCTCCCTTCCTCTGAGCTTAGCATTAAGATTCTCTAGCAATCTTTTTGGTTGAAAGGTTATTCTGTTCTATGTGTTAAAGGTGTTAGTGGTTGCAATAAAGAAAACACACTCGGCTCTCAAATTTATTTTTGTCTGGTTATGATTATTAAGCAAGCTGAAACTGCAAATACACTGCATTGGTTTGCATTTATTAAGAACCTGTTCAAAAGCATCTCCCAGTTTGCTCTTTTAACCAGTAAGTGTTTTAACCCTGGTCATAGGGTAAATAATGCAGCGATGAGATATTGATTTTAAAAAGATAAATCAATACCCTGCTGAAAAGTCAACCCGGTATTGATTGATTGCTATTCATTTGACAAATATTGACATCCCCTCTGCTATTATACATTCTCACTGAACTGTGAACACCTGCTGTGCGACTTCATTAACTTCATTATGTTTCTGCACTGACCTCTTTTTGTTTTTTTTTTAATCAGCTGATCATTATTAGGCAAACTGGCTAACTGTATTTTTCTTTGTTTGTCTTTCAGATATTTCCAGGATTGCCTACTACACAGGTGAGTAGGTGAACATTAACCCCACTTACAGCATTTAAGACCATTCAGCTGCTTCACTCACTCAAGCACACTGTTGGCAGCTCCAGTGATTGTGTCACCACAAGGTGTCTCTAACAGTAGATGATGAACCAGTGTGAAAACTCAATGAATGACCTTTCTGAAATTCCCAACCAACAGTCGTAGTTTTCATGAAAGTCTTGAGATTTTCCCTGTTGTATCAGGATCAGGATGATAACATTTCTCTTCTGTGGTTAAAAAAAAAAAAAGGATAAGGTTGGTTAAAATACATATAAAAGGATACATCTACACATGCTGAAGGCCACTAAATAATAGGTCAATTATGTATCATAATAGCAAAGTGGCAATGTGTTAATATTGAGAGAATGGGTGGAAAAAGATGATATGTCATGTGTGGCATGGAAGTAAGTCTTGTATTTATTAGCTTTATTCAGACTGCCGTCTCAAGGCGCAATATTTATGTCCCTGTGAAGTTTCGCCTACAATCTGAGGTGTAATGGGGGGATGAAGTGATCCCCCCCTCTGTACTGTCTGAGGAGGTAGTAACAGGGGTGTTACAGGATCAGCTGAGCCATTAGAGGAACACAACACTGTGTGTTTGTGCATGTTTGACTGTGTGTATGTGAAGTTCCCACTGAGCTGTGCTTCTGCAACTCCAAAATACAATTAGACTGGGACACGAATAATACGCCATCGCGGAAAAAACATCAATGCACAAAGATGCAAAGACAGCTGAGCTTAGTCAAAGTCAAAGTCAACTTTATTGTCAATTTCAAAATATGCCAGACATGCAGTGGAATCAAAATTGCGTTTGTCTCCGTCCTGCGGTGCAATACAACCAAAATAAGGTAAAAAAGAGATAAGATAAAATAAAATGAGGTAAAAATAAGATAAATAATATTTACAGTAATAAATTCTAGTTACGGCTTTTGCAGAAAAGTCACGGTCTGAAAAGCGCTAGTGTTTATTCCTGTATCTTGGCATCCTCTTAGAAGATGTAAACTGTTGAGAAATCTTCAGTAGCACATTTTGCTAATAATCTCAGATGCTGCTAATTGCACCGTTTTATGCAATTCATAACACAGAATGGGGCTGTGGGACAAGGGTGCAAAACAGACTGTATAACTCTCTGGAGTGTGTGACTAATTTTAATCTTCACACTGTAGATTCTTGAAAACAGTCCAAGTTTATCTCTGTGCAGCCCGAGGGTCTTATTTCCCTTTCTGGTATTGATATAAAAAAGCATATTAATGTGTCATGGCACCGTGCCCTGAAAGAAGGCTTGCTGGCCAGTTCTGATAGCAAATGTTAATTAATTTGCCAGAAGATAGCATATTCACAGCTTTATGAGTCTGGCTTTAAGAATTTAAAATATATATAAAAATATATTTTACCTACCACTGTGAATGCTTTTATTTTTCATTTGCTAATTTTCAGGTTTTCAGGTAGAAACAGTTAAATCAGAACCAGTTCGTTTGCCCGCTTCCATCACTGCAACACCTGCATGGCAACTAAGGTGCTGTACGTCCAAAATGGACGTGTCGGGGTGCCTTATAACCGCCAACCTTCTCTGGTCAAAACAAATCCAGACCATTGTGGAGCAGAATCCAGACTAAGAAAGAGGACATACTGGCTGCTGCATTGTTGTCAGAGAAGCCAGGACTTCAACATAGAATGTTTGATGACATAGTAAGGTCATTTTATGATTTCATTCAGTGGATATCTTACTCTCTCTCCCCCCCCCCCCCCCCACACACACACCACACACACACACACACACACACACACACACACTCACTCCCGTGGAGATTATGACGGAGAGAGAGAGAATGACTTTGGCATACTCCCAAGAGTGCTTCCCATTCATGGCAACATCCGGCCCTCTGACAAAAAGCTTTCAATAGTCACACACACACACACACACACACACACACACACACACACACACACACACACACACACACACACACACACACACACTCTACCAGAACCCCTGCTCCCACTCAGACAATAGCTTATGCTACACACACAGCTTTGTGCAGTGAGCCTGTAAAGTGTGTGTGAGAAGTACCTCGTTTATTTCTGTGCAGTTCTTCCGTTAAAGATTCTGTCGTATGAATGTCAGCTGGATTAATTGAGGGTGGCATCTGGTCAGCACTAAAACTCACAAAGATAGGTGTCACTCACTGGCAGGTTTATTGGCGGCATGTTGCCTTGGAGATGAGCCCTCCAGACTGCGCCTCGAGCACTCTGGGAGATGGAGAGTGCGCATGGCCCTCAAAGTACAGACTGAAGGTCTTTGAATGTGCAGCATGAAAGGTGATTGATTGAGACCTTGTGGTTTAGAAGTGGATTGGTTGGCATGTTGGTAATTCTGCTAGTTTGCATGCTGGGCACAGCCAGGGCGATGTCTGTATTAAGAAAAAGAATGCCCTTTTCTCTTTTGTTATTCTCTCTCTTCTGTCGGGGCTTGGAAGGACAACTTTATTCAGTTTTTGTTATAAAAGATTTGCATGGTCTAGTAATGTCCTTTTCTAGATTGGCTAAGTGAATCATTTTTGGACTTGAGAAGTTAAGGGGATTTGGTAGTTTGCCTGGGAGGTGAATGTTCATTTTGTGAAATGTGAAAAATATGAGGACATTCAGCTTTAAACTGTCTTTGGGAGGGAAGAAAGATCTCAGTTGGTTTTGTGCTTCTTATCTGTAGTGGCAAATACTTTCCCTGTCCCAGTTTACTTTTTAGAACTCTGTTTTCTTTTTCTTTAATCTTCAGGGAATGAAATGCTGCAGAGTCTTGCAGTAACTTTGAGTTGTTATATAAAGGGATTTCTCTTACTTTCATTTACTTTGAGTTGCATTTGCAATGGTTGCTATCGTGTACATAGAGGGCTAATCTGAGGTCAGCTTCATAAACAGAACTGGGAGGGGTTTTCATTCATTGAACACACGAGTGGAGTGCGATTAGCATATTAATAGTTTGTAGCTCCTCCCTCTCCTCTAGCAGCTCTCTCTCGCTCTCTCTCTCTCAGTCCTCACTCAACTTTCTCTCAGATCTGTCCTCCTTTTTCCTCTCTTTCATCCTGAAACAATCGCTGCATTTCTCTCTCTCTCTCTTTGCCCCGCTGTCTCTGTATCTTTAGTTTTCCTGGCTCGCTTTCACACTTTCTCTTTCCAAAGAAAGAAGATAACTTTCTGTTTGTGTGTCACTGCGCACTGTAATTGTCTCTCTTTTTCTGACACCACTAACTAAATCTCCACCGGATTGACACCATACACGCTGGATTTGTCTTTGAGCTTTTGCTGGAGGTGCATTTTTTTCTCACCACACCAGGGACTTCACTGAGTGAAATAAGCAACCGAGCAGGAGAGGATTCGGGGTTGACTCTTCCACGGCAACACTGTAACTATGGAGTGCAGGCATGGGGCAGAAATTGGGCAAAAGCAAACAGTGTGTTGACATCAGACAGGGGCTGCTGAGGAGTAATTCAGAAGAGGAGGAGGGGAGTACCTTAACATCTCTGGGGTCTTTCTTGACTCCTCCAACTGCAGATAACAGGGACGTATTAAGAAGACAAGACTTAACAGAGCAGAAACTCCTAAAAGGATTGGATTTCTTTCATTTTCCTCTCTTGATGTGTTTTCTGCAGCCTCTCCAGACTCTACACAGAGCGTCAGCAGACCAGAAAATTGGCCTTTTTTTGTGGATCTCTGAATTAACTACTTTGGAAATAACAGTTGGCGAACAATACTGTTCACAAAAGATTCAGACAAAGATTTCTACCTCAGAGACGGAGTGTGTGTGTATTTGTGTTTGAGTGTTTGGACTACATGAGTGTGTTCCTGAAGTTGTGTCTGGACTGTGGTGTGTGCTTGTTTATTTATGCAACTTCTGCACACGAGAAGTTCACTGTGCGTGATGCGTGGTTGTGAGACCGCAAGCTGTCTATCTGTCCTCGGTGCGGACAGACAGAGGGAGGGACAGACATGTGTTTCCATGGCGATGAGCGGCTGTAGCCCTTTTCCCATGTGCTGGGACAGAGGTATGAGTGAAAACTTCTTTGCACACCGAATAACACACTTAGCTTAGCACACACGTAGCATGAAGCCCTTCCACAGTGTGACATCTGACTCCATGGGAACTGAGCTGGTGTACAGCCAAAGCTACCGTTGCTCAGCAGAAGTATTGTGTGTGTCTGTGTGTGTGTGTTTGAAACACAGGGAGAGACAGAAAGAGAGAGAGGCAGGTTAAAGTGCTGAAAGTCAGTGGAGTGATCTGTTGTTAAAAAAGTCTTTACCATTGGAAACTTGTAGTATACAAGTAGAGTACATTCATATTGTACTGTGATTTAACGGTCCTTAGTTTTGAAGTGTTTCTTCTAAGTTATGTGTACTTGTAGTGTGTGTATGTGCTGCTGCTCCGCTACTCAGGTGTAATTACCTGCTTGAACATATCAATTTTCCTTGAAATGGTTGAGAGAGCAGAAGAAAGAAAGACTGAAAGGAAAACAGAAAAAGATAATGAAATAGTTCCCAGTATCTTTTCTACACAGTCTCACGATTATCTCAGCAAACGTATACACAGTAATACACATCTGGCACACGCAAACGTAGAGGAGGTAGTTATTGTTGGGCATTCCCAGATAAAGTTAGCAGAAATTCCAGGAAGTCTGTCAATGTCACGACTTCTTATTCAGGAAAATCGTCAGCCTGAGGTGCATTGTCTTCTTTGTGTTACAGACACAGGTGCTACATATGGAGCCTTGACCCTGACTGCACTTCTCTCTCTTTTTATTTCTCTCTCTGGGTTCTCATTGTTCAATTTTTTTTATTAGCATGTTTTCCATCCAGACAAATGGTGTTGTGTCAAAACCTTTGCTGTTTACTATCATTATCATGTGCAGTTCACCGGCAGATAAAGATATCAGTGGCCAAAATGTCTGGCCAAAGAATAAACCAAATACACAAATAGTTAAAAAATAATAAACAGTGGCATATTATATAATATGTTTCCTATACATGGACAGTATTACGGACCATTGCAGCTTTTTTCCTTTTATTTCCATTGTTGGCTTACAAGATCACAAATTGTGATTGATACATTGATCTCTCTACCACTAATGCATGCCAGTTGTGTTTGACTCCTGCTCCACAGATCAGAGGGAGAGACATGCAGTATATGCTCGAACATCCCTTGATTGAGCTGCAGGTCTCATGTTAAAGATGGACCTTCTTGTGCTGTTGCTTTAATACGTAGCTTTGTCTGTCTTTTTCTGCACTCTTAGTTTTGGGTTGTTGCGTTTTGCTATGCCATTAATCTCCACACGGATATCCTCTTCTGTGAAATGTTTCAAAACACGAGTGGGGTTAATTGGACGTCTGTATGAAAAATGCTGCTGATGAATAGACTACTGTCAAAAAAAGGCAGATCAAGCCGCTGTATTTAGAGTGAAGAGGTGCAGGTGTGTAAGCTATGTTTGTATGAAGAAGTGAAGGGAATTAAAGTGTTTTGATAAGTTTGTGAACAAGCAATGAAAAAGTTATAGAACAAAGCCAGTTACTGTAATATACCAACCTACCATTGGTCTATAACAAATCCTAATATGAATAGACTTTGACCACACAAAACCACCAATAGGAAGAGGTCACTTTCAGCATTAGGATGTTAATTCACCAAATGATAAATCAAGCAAACAATAAACAACAGTTGTATCTGTGATACTCAGACATCATCTCAGTGTATCACATTTTCTGATTTCCAATCTCTTTTTTTTTTTTGCAGTAATACTTACAATTCCATTGACCAAATATTTCTCTCACAAGCTATTATACTTTCTTCCTCATTTCACTGATGTCAGTTTTCCTCTCCTCTCCTTCCCAGAATATGACAGACACCTAGCGTCAGCAGGGAAAACCATGGCGACGGCCTACATGGACCCCAACCTGAACCATGCCCTCCTGGAAGGAGCCAAATCAAGGCTGAGTGCCGGGGGGTCGGACCGAACCATGGCTGGCTCCGTGGACAGGGTTCTTAAAGTCTTCCATCACTTTGAAACCAACACTGAACACAGCTGCTGGTCCTCCAACATCAGATATGGGGATGCAACAGATGTCAGGGTAAGACAAGGCACACTTGTTTGTTTGAGTGTATTTATTTACTTAGAAATATACATTATTCTACCCTTTTCTCATTGTCGCGTTATGCAATGAAAAGATCAAAGCCATCTCCTGAACATGTAAATATCAAAAAACGAAAAAAACCTTAGGTACCGTGCTGGTTTGAGCAAACTGCTAACATGAGCTTTTAGATCCCTTCCCATGATGCACAAAACTACTAAGCACTGCTCAAACTTTAGGGGTCATTCAGGATACATCACTTAAAATCATCCTCTCCTCTCCCCTCTTTCTCCGGCAGTATCTGGGTCAGACCCCCTAGCATTTTACACGGCAACACACATGCTTCTGTGAGCATGGCTGTGTGTGTGTGTGTGATGTCTGTCAGCTTGTTTGGGTGGGGACGTCATGTTTAATTGCTTCAAGTAACCTACACACTCGCATTGACTGATGCTCTCATTGAACCGATGCAAAATGATTCACATAAACACTGGCAGAGTTTGCACACTGAGGAGGCTGACTAACTGTTTTTGTCTAGTGGGTATCTTTGTAATGTATTACTAAGCAATCAACATGGTGTTATAAATGTGTCTTGCCACCATAAAGAGGTCTGCATCACTATAGATAAGAGGAACACATTTGTAATTTAGCCAAAAATTAGATTTAGCAATGCAAAGAGTAATATCTGTTGAATTTATGAATTCTGTATATCATATTATTGAGTCCAATAACTGATCTCAGTCCATTTTCTTCATACTTTAAAGGATGTATATCTATGTAGGAGAAGTGTATTAAAAGGAAAATAACCCAAAGAAATGTTTCCAGGGAATAATCCAGAAGATTTTGGACATCCACAAAGTGCACTGGACTTCTTGTTTTGGTCTCCGTCTTACCAACAGCCAATCCAGAGAACAAGTGCACTGGCTCCACCCTGATATGGGCGTTTCACACGTCAGAGAGAATTACGGACAGGCACGACCAAACGAGGAGTGGAGGTGAGAGAAGACGGTGGCAAATCACTCACTTCTTACACAGAGCTACCGATTTTGTATTGATTTGAATGGCCCTACAGTTTTAGCGGTTGTAGAGGTTGTTTGTTTTCAGTTTGTGAAACTTATCGTGAGGATGAATGGTTTCCTGCTCTTAGCACGACCTTCAGGCATTATCTGGAAAGCAGGCCAACAGCAGCAGTTCATTATATTGATTTAAGCGGTAATCCGGCATCTTATCAGCCAGTTATTAGCCCTGATAGTCTGCTGATAGAATAGAGCAGCTGTAACCTCACCTCAGCTATGGTAGCAAGCAAAGACCAAAAATAGTGTAAAACTGAGGTTAACAATTTACCAGATAATGGAAGGATGGATACTGGATGAGATTTTTTTTATAAAACAAAATGTTGAATTTACCTTTAGATTCTGCAGCAGGTGCGTGCATGTCATTAAGAAAAAACATTTGTGTAAAACTGTTCAGCCTGCACATATAACCACTTCCCTTGACATTAAATGTGACTTATTTGGCTTTGTAAATGAAGTCTGAGTTACTGTCTCCTTAAATGTCAACCCACAGCAGTCTGCCCCATTGTTTAGCAAAGTACCAGTAGTGATTTGTTGCAACCAACGCTCAGGGAAAATAGTGCAACTTGTCTGCTCTATGCTGATGGGAGGCCCTGTGTGTGTGAGCATGTGCTGTCTTAGCAGTTTGGATGTTAATGCACTGGCGCATTTTATGTTCATTGAGGCAGTCGTGGTGCTAATGCTATTGTGATGTGCAGACCTTTTGAACTGTGGACATAAAGAGAGAGAGAACCAGATGCCCGCTCTCGCCGACTAAGTCTACAACTCTCTCTGAATCTGTCGGTCTCTCCTCCAATCACCTTTCAACCCATGTCCTCATTCTAGCATACACATTTTCCTCCCATCCTTCTGTCTTTATCTCTTTGTGTCAAATCTTCAGCCTTATTGTCTTACTCACCAAACTCTTCTTTGTCAAATTGTGACTTTAGCTAAGTCAGTCCATCCTTCCTCTTCTTATTTCCTCTCTCTTTTGTGCTCTGCTCTGATCTTCAATTGCTGTTTTACATTTTTCTTAGACTCATTCTGATACTTTTACCATGTACCAGACAACTCCAACAAATATTACTCTAAAAATGTCTTTCCAATAAACATAAAGCTGTAAGTTGTTGTACAATATGAAGGCATTTACTTGTTTTTGCTGTTGAAGAAATAATTTATTGTTTGTGCAGCTCTGTATAAAAATCCACTCTTACTTTCTTCCTCTAGGTATGAGTTAAGGATCCGCTATCTTCCAAAGTGTTTCGTACAACAGTTTACAGAAGACAAACCCACGCTCAACTACTTCTACCACCAGGTACACACACACACACACACACACACACAGACGCACAAACACACTGAGGCACCGAGACACCAACAGATTTCATTTTCTGCCAGCAGCTAAACAGCACAGAGACATATGGTACTGCTTGAAGACAGTGTGTGTTTGTCTTTTGGTTATCTAGGTCAGAAGGGACGTGTGTGTGTGTGTGTATGAGCTAACTGACATTTGTTGCATGTAGAGATACATCATTTCATGATTATATTTTTGTAATGTGTTTTTGTGTCTCCCAGGTGAAGAATGACTACATGATGGAGATCGGGGATCAAGTAGAACAAGATGTAGCTCTCAAACTGGGCTGTCTAGAAATCAGGTTAGACATGCTCACACTGCTTTACACTAACTTTTTTTTACAGGAAAATCTAACTCTACAGTGTAACAATATCCTGCAGACTTGTAGAATTCATTGTATTTAATGGCATTTTTCTTTTTAGATGAAAAGCGAACGTTTGTTCCCAACATGGATAACGTTTTCTTTTTGTTTAAATGGTGTTCTGCACAATTAGCGTTGTTTCCATGTGAAACTTTTATGTTTTCCTGTTAGCTTCACTGATCACTCCGTCCAAAATCTGCCAGCTTTTACAATGTAAAGCAACAACTTGTCTTAAATGTACAGAACACCATCATAATGTAATTCTGTTGAATTTGAACAATTGTTTTGTCCATTAAAACTAAAGTATTGCCTTAAATGCTGGTGTGTGTGCAGTGAATGTCTCTGATCTTGTTCTTTTTCTGTGTCCCACTCTTGTCCGTTCCAGGAGGTTCTTCAAAGAGATGAGAGGAAACGCCCTGGACAAGAAATCCAACTATGAGTTACTGGAGTAAGTATTTTCTTTACAAGCACAGCGCTGTAGGAGCTCATTTTGAGTCCAACTAAAAAACCTTTCTGGTCAATGACATCTCACCTTGAACTAGAAATGTGTTTTCAACCCTGCAGAGAAACAACAAATAGAGAACAGTAAATGTCACAGTTTCTTGTTCAGGGTTTAGACTCTTATAGTTAAAATCTGAAAAGTGAAACACAAACAAGTCGTTTTGGGGAAAAGTTTGGGGATTTACAAATTCTTGTAATTATGTGACAGTCCATCAGTTGTTGTACATGTTGTTTACATTTACTGGTATGAAGAAAGTCTTCAGTCTTTGTAGATTCAAACTACAGATCATTTGTCTTTTATAATCATTCATGTTTGTAGACTTATGTAAGATTGGCTGCTCTGTGTGTGTTGGCTTCCTGGTATTGCTCCCTGTTAGATGCTGATGAGAACCATTAACAGAGTCTGTCCCTAACAAGGCTTGGCTATAGCTTGGACCCGTTCTAATGAGCTGCCCTCTTCCACTGAAGTCTTTCTTTCTGTCCGTTAGCCTAACGAGCTCTCCAATTAACTCAGAAGAATGCCCCCTGTCTTTTAACCAAATATTTCTTTGTTTCCAATGAACATGCTCTCAGTCCTCTCTCTTCTTTCTCTTTTCTCTTTTCTCTCATCCTCTAATTTTGTCTCTTTTTCTCCTTCATTCTTTTCTCCCTCTCGGCCTCTCTCTGTTGCATATTTTAAACCAACAATTGAACGAGATGGAAAGTGCTGTCGGGGATTTGATAGGCCAAGCAGACGGTTGGCCATAAGGGGCTGTTGGGCTCTTGATGAGAATCCAAAAAATTCTGATAAATTTTGGGCCGCGTTTCAGCGTCCGTGGGTTCAAATCCTGGCCCTTTGCTGCAGGTCGTCCTTCCAGTGTTTCCTGTCTCTCTTCAGCTGGCCTATCCACTACGAGCTGCTCCTAGTAGCTACTCGTACACAGCCACTGAACATGTGTGCAATCTAGAGAATAGATGGCTATCCTTGGCAGTAGTAGTGCTTGTGGTTTTGAAGCTAATGTGTTTGATTAGTGTAAAGTACTCATGCTATGAACAAAGCTTGATACAGGTGGGGAGACTACTTTATGGTGTGATATATTAAGTTTATCTGTAATAGACCCTATAATGGACGGATGTGAAAATATTTTTTTTACAGAGTCTGACTGTCAAGACAAACATCGCCCTGCATCTAAAAGTTCATTTGTGCATCTTCTTACCATCTGAATTGCATTAACTAAATCAACTAAATTCCTGACCCCGTTGTACACCACACACTAAAACAACATAATATAATATTTGATATTTGCTGGAGAAAGGATGACGTAAGCTGTCGGCCTTTCTCTCTACTCGTTCTCTCCTCTACTCCTCTTTTCTCCAGAGGAGTTTGAGTGAGTCATTAACTCGCTTCCTGTTTTAGCTCTGCACATCTTTCTTTGTCTCTGTGGTCTCCCTCTTTGTACTCCTCTCTCACTCTCTCTCTCTCTTTCTGCTCTCCCTGTTTTTCCTCAGCCTCGTCTCTTAGGAAAAGATGAGTAGCACTCCGCGGTCAGCAGCCCTTTGTCATAGCTTTCTGTTTCTCTTTTCTGTTTCTTGTCTTCAGCTGCCTAACTGTATCTGTCTGTAGCTGAAAAAAAAAAATCTGCAAAAATCAGATAAACACAAACGCTTGTCAATTAGCATTCCACAGTGTAATTACAGCGTAATAAACATGCTTCTCTGTGTGTCTCTTTCCAGGAAGGATGTGGGTTTGAGGCGTTTTTTCCCAAAAGACCTGCTGGATTCAGTCAAGGTGAGAAAGGACACTTTAAAGTTATATGGAGACAAAGACAGGTTAAAAACATGAAGGATAGTTTGTGAGGTCATCCAAACAAACACCTTAGTCACACTATTGCACAGAAAATACAAAATGTATGCAACTCGGTGGATCCAGTAAGCATCTCTCTCCCTTCAGTCACCTCTGTTATCACACTGCCCCAGCTGCTCTGGTGAAGTTGCTTATTTTCCAAAAGTAACAAAACCTCTTGGTTTTATGGACAGCTTTACAGTTTAACTCAGGGCTTCTTTGAGCTTTTTTTTTTCTCAATGTGTTTCTAGATGTGCTGTTAGACCTTGTGTGGTCTGACAGACATTATGCAAAGCAGTCAAAGACTCCAGATGACTGTAATGTATACTTTGCCAAATATCCACTGAAATTCAGAAGAATGGAGATGGTGAGAAAAGGCTTGTACAAAAAACAATTAAAAAAGGGTAATACTCACGAGTGTGATGTAATCATTGAGGTTGTACAATTCATTGCAATTTCATCATTATTGAGATATGAGCATTTGCAATAAACATCTGCGTTTAGAGCAATAAATAAGACAAGTTATTTAAACAAGCAATGTGTTCTAACTACGACTGCATGCACTTCATCTTTTGGATGTAGGCCTGGGTGCAAAGACTATGCTTTTAGAAAATATGCATGTTTTAATCATTCTTTATTGCACTTTATATCGTCACACATATTTTTGTCATACTGTCCAGGCCTAGTGTAGATAATATTATATGTGAAATAATCCAGATTTGAAACGTTGTCTGAAATGTTGGGAGCAGGGCATATGCTGTGTGGCAGATTTTGGTTTCTGTTTGAATATGACGGCTGGGTGTGCTAGCATAATGAGCAGTGTCTGTGTCAGTGATAAATTTACGGCACACGTTTTTTGGGAGGGTCTTGTGTGTGTGTGTGTGTGTGTGTGTGTGTGTGTGTGTGTGTGTGTGTGTGTGTGTATAGGAAAAGCCCAGTGACCCTAAAAGGTCTCGATGTCAGCGGGCGGGCAGACAGATGCTCGGCAGAAGGAGGGAAGCTGACTGTGTGTGTGTGTCTGTGCTGGAGTGTGCGACCCTCAGGTCATGTTTAAACCCACTTTCTCTTTTCAACAATGAGGAGGGAGGGGGCGGCATCATTGTGCACCTCCTTGTGCCCCCTGGTCTGTCAAGCCTTGCTGACTCCCCCCTCATCAGGAGCCCACATTCTTAGCTCATCTCCTCTCCCTCTCATTTTCTACTTTTTTTTTGCAGACATGACACCACACTTGTCTTAGTTTCATAGGCCATGAACACACACACACACACACACACACACACACATTCTAAGAACAACAACTGTGGAAATCTGACTCGATTGAAGAATTTTTATTTTACGATATTTATGAACCATTTCATTATCAAAAAAACAACAACAACTTGAGAACAAAAATAAAGGACCACAGCATCAGTTACTTATCTTAATCATAGATTGTGGAGCTTAAGAATGAGATAATTATCGAGTGTTTTGATAAATAAACAGCCTTACATTTTCTGACCAAGTTTCAAAAAAGATATCTTTGGGTTTTGGAAGGTTGATTAGAGGTTGATTTGGCCCTTTTACAATTGTGACAGACAATGCTTGATGTTAGGCAAGTGGCACATCTGCTCTAACACACAGAGAGAGAGAGAGAGAGAGAGAGAGAGAGCGCGCAGCTGTCATGTACGTCGCCGTCGTTTGCTCTGGTGAAGAGAACGGTAGTCATTTAATGGGATTATTCTCCCTCAATGGACTCTACCTCCACACACACACACACACACACACACACACACACACACACACACACACACACACACACACACACACACACAAATAACCCCAGAGCAGATGGCTGTGGTAGTAAACAGTGACTGATGTGTGCTGTGTTGAAAGCGTTATAAAGAGCGGAGTGTGTTCATTTGTATTGACAGGCTGGCCGGCAGGTTTGGTCACACTGACCTCTGGAGATCAAAGTTTGACCAAAGCAGCTTGAGCTGAGCGGAGGAGTCTGTTTTCCCCTCACAGAGTGATCACTCACTGAATTTCTCTCTACTCTATCTTTCTGATGATAACTGCAAAATGATTTGTTGATATAGCAGTGTGATTTATTGTTGCATTCAAACACATAATGTGATAGATAAGTGGAGTTTTTGAAGTATTTTCTCAAATGTAGTGTACATATTTTGATGAACTGTGATGAAATGTCTCATCAAAACCTTAAACTATTTGTATCTCTTAAGACTAGATAAATGTATTCATCCTTTTAAAACAACTCTTGAATTCGAGTCATTTTTACTTGTTCAAGGCTAGCTTTTTAAAAAATCATTTAATTCATTTGATTAACATTTAAAAACAACTTCTTAAAACGTAATAAGGCCAACATTTCAGATTAACCCCAGCCACCTTCAGCTGATGAAACACAGAAACCTCATAAACACTCCAATCGCCATTTCTGTTCTTCTGTATATAGACTGAAGTTATTTAAACTGCCTATAAAACCCCAAAAGTAGATACACATAAATATATAAACAGAAGAGTAGAAAACAAAGAAAGACAGAAAGAAAAAAAACAAGAGTTTAAACAATCACTGTACATGTCATAATGCAGTGTTATAATTAAAATGATCTGTTAAATGATTTGAAAAAGGTAGCTGTAAAACAGGTTGGTCCTCAGCCTTGATTTAAGAGTTTCAGCAGACCTGCAATTTCTTCAGCGTTGTTTCGTATATACGGAGCACTAAAACTAAAAGCTAATTCTCCAGTTTCCAGGTCAAATGAAGTTTACTATCAGATTGCTTCTCTGTGTGTAAGAAGTCAGAGAAGTGACATAACTGGTCAGCCCTGTTGCTAGAGCAACGGTCAACATGGTGATGGTGAGGGTGATAGCTACTCTCAGCACTTCCTCTCAGGAAGGGTGGACTGACTGTGTGTGCCTGTGTGTGTGTGTGTATGTGTGTGTGTGAGAGAGAGAGAGAGAGAGTGTCTCTCCTGGAATTCAAGGAATTAAAACACTGATCCTATCAAGAGCACAAAGTACACACAGAAGCACATACTCATTTTTCTGTAATCACAAGTGTGTTATGAAATGTTGAAAGGACACATATACACATAAAGCTGAACACACAGGGACACTGCTGTGTGTGTGTGTGTGTGTGTGTGTGTGTGTGTGTGTGTGTGTGTGTGTGTGTGTGTGTGTGTGTGTGTGTGTGTGTGTGTGTGTGTGTGTGTGTGTGTGTGTGTGTGTGTGTGTGTGTGTGTGTGTGTGTGTGTGTGTGTGTGTGTGTGTGTGTGTGTGTGTGTGTGTGTGTGTGTGTGTGTGTGTGCACGTTTATCTACAATTAATATATATAAAAAAAGATATTTGTTTAACACTTTTTTAAAGAAAAGTCTCGGTTGGAATAATTCCCCCCCCTCAATGTAACAGTTTAAGCCCGCTCACATGGGTTACACTCTCTGTACGTCTTTGGATAATCAGATTTTTGGGCCTCATTAGGCTCGACATGCCCTGATTGGTCAATTCAGTGTGTCTAAAAATAAATCTATATAATTGATTACTCTTTGGTTGTGACACCAGTTGTTCAAACAGTTCATTTATTTTGTGTAGAATGACCTTAATGTCTACTGTAAATCCACTCATGTTTTTTTAAGCCTGGTCTGTATTAAACTAAATCTCCTCTAATCTCGATCTTAATCTATATATGGGGGGCTATTTATAGAACGGGACTGTCTGTATACTGTATGTGTGCGAATGAATGTGAATGTCTATTTGATCTACTCTGGCTTTTATACATATCAATGCTTAAACCTGCAGCAACAAGGACATTCAAATGTACAAAGTTCATTTGAAGGAGCAAAGAGATTAAGAGGTCATTTTTACTAGGGTTGAAATCCTCTTCATGTTAGTTACATATACATCATTTTATACCAGATAAAGAGGATTATATACACATTGTATATATCTGTATGTGTGTGTCTGTGTGTGTGTGTGTTGCATATCTTAAAGCATGTCATGAAGCTTTGGAGGGATTGTAAATGTCAGAACAATGTTCCCAAAAGGATTTTTTATTCTTTTACTCTCCATCTGTCAACTCTCCAGTGACATAACCGACAGAAAAAAAAAAAAAAGGTTTGAATTTGTGATTGTGATGCCAGCAAGAAAAACCAATACTGACACACTCGAAATCTGTATGATGATCACACAGTGAGACGTATTAAACACTCTGCAGATAAACATGCAGTCTTTAAGTTTGATGGAGTGTGTTAACTATCACTGTGTCTTTGTGAAGATATTGATCTGATCCTAGTGAAGTGGTGAGGTCAAATTGATTGGAAGCACACCAGAGGATTAATCAATCAATGTAATCTTCTCCTCATGTCACTCTGTGCCCACATATACATATCCCAGCATGCGTCCCTCTCCTTGAGTTAAAGAGTTTCTTCTATACTATTTAGAAAATGTTTTTTTAAAAGTCTCTTTCTTTCTCTTTTAGGCCAAGACACTTCGTAAATTGATCCAGCAGACGTTTAAGCAGGTAGCGAATCTCAACGACGAGCAGTGCATCCTCAAGTTCCTGGAGGTCCTTGCACCAATCTACCGCTACGACAAGGAGTGCTTCAAATGTGCCCTTGGGGTAGGTTTTCATCCCTTCTTGCCTACACTCTGGTTTGTTGTGTTAGGTTGACCTCTTTTGGTGGAAGTAGGTATTGCAGGATGTGTTGATCTGCCACAGAGTGTGTCTCAAGTTTTGGGATGAGGGCTTTAAACTACAAATGAAAAAATGAAAGATATCGCTGACTTCCTTTCTTTCTCTCACTCTTTTCTGTATTGCCTTTTTGCTTTCGCTCTCTTTCTATTTAACTTCTCGTCTTTTTTTCTTCTTCTCTCCAACAGTCCAGCTGGGTGATCCAGGTGGAGTTAGCTATTGGACCAGAGGAGGGGATCAGCTACCTCACTGACAAGGGATCCACAGTGAGTTTTAACAAATACTACATTGTTCTACAACATCCAAGTAAACAAATGTTTTTTTATTCTCCCTATTATTGGCATTTTCTGTCGCCAAAAAGTATTAAAAACCAAATGCTACAAAGGCAGCATTGACTTTTGAGTGGAAAACGAAGGCTCGATAACCATAGAAAAATGCTAATGCTAAGCTCATGTTTATGAAGGAATATGGAGTATGGCTTAATAAGGAATACAGTTAACATGATTTATTTTTCCACTCTTATCTGTCCCCAGCCCACCCATCTAGCTAACTTCACTCAAGTTCAGTCCATCCAGTACTCTGCTATGGAGGAGAAGGACAGGAAGGGGATGCTACAGCTCAATGTAGCCGGAGCTGCTGAGGTATTGTTTCACTCTCTATCTGATGCTCTATTGTGTTTCTTTGTTCAGTTTGCTCCACAAGTACATGATTTGTAAGCGTACCATGAAGTAAGATTGTTTTTTTTGGATCTTAAATAGTTACCTCCAACATGTGAGCCACATGATCGTCATTTATATGCACATCCATTTCTTTTTCTGATATGATTAAATATTATATTGAGTAGGTAATGCCTGAAACTCATCTTTTTATGTCTATATGTTTCTACTGTAAAATGGAGCATCCATGCAGCAAGATCGATGGCACTAGCTATGATTTATGATCATTTATAAAATAGTTGTTCAGTCTCACACTTGTAGAATCAATCCTGCAGACTCGGCTTTCTTTGCCCTCTAATCTTGCTTACTGTGTACTTCTTTTTTTTTAAATATATTATATATATATATATATATATATTATTTTTTTGCCTTTAATGGAGAGAAAGGACAGTGGATAGAGTTGGAAATCGTGCGTGCGTGTATAAGCTTGTGTTTTTCTTTGTATAGATTTCACACAATGGCTCTACACACAGCAGGATGGTTCTGTAATACTCACTGCTGTATGTGTGGAGTCTTTCTGTTATGTTGGCTTTGATAGCATTGGATTTACACAAACATACACACTCACATATAAAGACACACACTTTACTATGAGAAAGAGGAGAATTTCCACTGACATAAGGAGCAGCTTGAACCCCACTCTCCGATGTTTCAGAGTATATGAGTGTGTGTGTGTTGTCCCTGCAGATAATGGCTCTGTGTAATAGGCCTACCCATCTTTCTTTGTTTGTGTGCGTGTGCGTGTGTGCGCTTGTTCATGTGCAGCCTCTCACAGTTACAACAGCATCACTGAACATGGCAGAGAACTTGGCTGACTTAATTGACGGCTACTGTCGGCTCATCACCATGGAAACGAATTCCTTCATCGTCAGAGTGCAGAAAGGTATGACACTTGATGTCCCTACTTTCTGTCCCACCGTTGTTAAAGTTTTTATTATTATTATTTTTTTTAAACATCCTGTGGAGTATTTTATTTGGTTGAAACTTCCTGTATATTATTAGACTGTACAAAGTTGTATGACAGTATATAATGTAAAGTTGTATAACAGTAAATAAACAATGTCCATATGTTCTCTAAAGAGTGTACATCTTGTATGGAGTGTATTTTGTAAGCAGGAGAGACTTATATGACATAATTCAAACTGTTTATAAAGTCCTGTTTTCCAAGGGGACATTGTAAAATTATGTTGTGAGTCTTGCATATTACTCTTGCTTCACATTCCTCATTCTGATCCTGATGTGTGTTCTTGTCCTCTAGAGGGAGAGAGAGCGCTGCCTTCCATCCCAAAGTAAGTCCCTGTCTCTTCTTATTACTCGTATAGTAAAATCAAAGTCCATCAAGTTTTCAAAGGGGCTTATAACGTTGCTGCGAGTTGTCAGATGTGTGATTTTTGTTTTTTAAGTCTGTCTTTTCCAAGAATGTAAAGTTATGGGGTTTTATTTATAGGCTGTTGTGCACATCTGAATCTTTGTAAAAAAAGGAACCAAAAAGAATTATGTTTTGCCTGAATTATTGGCCCATTATTCATGCTGCCTTTTTTCCCTCTATAAAAAAAAACTAACCAGGAATAGAAGTTGAGCCTTTTTAGGAATATATGCTCAGATTTATGTCTCCGTCTTTCTACTGCAGCATGTAGTTCACTGTGTTTTTTTTTTACCTTTCACTGCAACAGCTTGGGTGGTGTGTGTTCACATTTCACTGTCAGTTAGTCTAATTCAAACTCCTACTTTTTGCTACTTTTAATAATTTTTACTCATATCTCTGTCTCGCTCTTTTTTCCCCTCCTCTCTCTCTCTGAGTCTCTGGTCAAATAAGGAGATAAGTTTAGGAGCCAAATGTTTTCCACTTAGGGTTTTTAAACACTTGGGTAGTCTCCTCCTCTTTCTCTCAGTCTCTCACTCTTCGGGTTTCTCTAGTTTGTTTTTTTTCTCTGCTGGTTGTGGTCTGTGATATAAAGAATGCAGTCAAAGTCAGATTAAACAGAGAGAGACCACAGCAGAGCCCGAGAGTTCATTTTAACAGTGGGGGTTAGTTTGGAGAAGCAGGTTTCTAAAGCCTCCTCTTTCTGGACTTAAAACATCGCTGACCTGCACGTTAAAGAGTCTTCTGTTTAAACCTGTTTGTTTTTTTATACCCAGTTTTAGCTTTTTGTTGGACTGTCTTATTTTTTTTTTGATTTTTTTTTTCCTTTTTTTCCAGAGTTTCCAATAATGAGAAAAAGTTGGAAGCGGTCAGGAGTGGAGTAAGAACCATCTCAGTTTCAGGTTGGTAACAAATCAAACACACACACGTTCACAGATGGAATGAAAAAGTCTGACAGCTTCCCATGGCTCCGACTATTGCCTGTCTTTCTGCGTTTCTATTTCCTGCATCATCCGTTTTTTCCCCTTACTCATTTTTTCCTCCCATTGTTTTCCTCTCGGTTGAGTCTGCCTGTCCTCGTCCTCTGTTCCTTCTTTCTTTTGTTTACTTCCTCCTCTCCCTGTTGGTTTCCTTCACATCTCCCCCTTCATTCACTCTTTTTTTCCTTGCACTCTTGTCTTCTTTCCCGCCTGATTGGCTGCAGAACTTGTGACACCGACACCTCCTAAGCCAACCAAGGCGCGGCGTTTCCTCCTCCCCTTTGCCTTCTGTTCAGATTCACCGCCCAATGGTATCCTCAGCTGTCATTGGACAGTTAGTGGGAGAGCGTGTCCACAAAATTGTGATGTGGTTGAATAAAACGCCTGTTTTGATGGTCAAACTTGTTTTGCAATCTAACTTTGCAATAACGGATACGTAGGCATTCAGAAATGAGATTGCACAACTGTGTTGAAGTATGTTGGAGTTGTTTGTGGTCTTTCTTGATTGGCGTTATAGCTCCAATTTGACCCAGAAAAAAGTTAGAACATTTTTTCAACTCCAAATGATATCAGACTTTTTGCTGATTTTTTTCACATAACTTAAAATAATTTTTGGTTATAATAATATAAATATATATATATATATATATATATATATATATATATTATATAAATAATTATAATAATTGGTTGATAATCTTTTTTATCCTCTGCATCACAATAGCTCTCTTTTTTAAAGATGCCCTCTCCTACTAAACTTCACTTTTTTCTTGTTGCCTTGTTGTCTTTACTAATCAGTCTCACCTCCACGTTCACACACTCAAACACACATTCATCAAACAAAATAACTGTGTGTGTGTGTTTGTGTGTGTGTTTTTCTGTCTAACTATCCTAATAAAAAAAGACTGATGAAAAAGGACAACTGGGGGCGCTGTTGGTTCGAGTGCCGTGTGATCTGTGGCTGAAGTCTTACTATTACTTATTTATCTTTCTTGCTAAGAAAGAAATGAAAATGATGATGCCAAAGGTCTCACCAAGGAGATGATTAGCATAGCTTAGCATAGCAGGGAAAATATGAGTGTGAAATAGCCAAGATTAGCTTTTTGTATCAATTGTCAGTCTTGATGCGATGTTAATGTACATGCCTTATGCTAAGCTAACACGCATCAGTCTGTATATTTTAGCCTTCTCCTCTAGCGAGCTCCTCTAGAGTATATCCTAAAATGTTGAACTGATCTTTTTTGACTGTGGTGGTTTGGCCTCTCGTCATTGTTCGGGTTATGATTCATAAAGAGGTTTTTAAGGTCATTACATTTAGTTGGACCTGCTGTATCATTTCCTCTCCTTTTGATATAAATACACACTAAATGAGTATTTTCTTTACTTGGATATGTGAGAAGCCTTGGTCAATCAGTCCATTGGATCTCACTCTGTCCACTGTTTACATTACAACCCTGGAACTCACTCATGTTGAACTCTAATGGATCCCCACTCTGCTCACGTTAACTCTTCAACTCACAAATATTTACAGCTCGACACAAACATCATACATCACTGAAACAAAACTGGAGTTCAAACATTGCCGACTGTTTCTTGCATTACTTCATGTGTCTGCAGAGCATTAATGAAAGTTGTTCACTCAGCCTTTTCTCTGGAGATATTTTGGGATTTCTTACTAACTAACTGCTGGCTTAATGTTTGGCTTTGCAGATCATGCTACATCACTCGTGTTGTTTCAAGGCTCTTCATGCTCTAACCGCTCTCTTCTCTTTTTTTTTTCTCTGCTCTGCCTCTTTTGATTTTCTCTCTCTCTCATTGCTGCTATTCTGTGTCTCTCTATTTTACCCCTCTGCTGCCCTGTTCCCTGCATGCTCTTCGGGACCCTGCAGAAGATCTTAGCGGGGATGGTAAAGTTGATGTTGTTTATTAATCTCTCTGTTGTTCCGTCTTCGTAGTCCTCACTTACCAACACACTGCAGCCTCCTGGGAAAGAGTTGCATGTGTTGGTGTGGGTGGATGTTTGTGCATGCATTCCTACTTCTTGAAAATGATGCATGTGAATGTATAAAATGTGTAATCTACATTCAGGCTGACTGAAGTCACTTAGAATCAACAAATGTAAACAATCTATGCTGTTTTTAAAGTGTCTGAGACTGGAAGCATGCATAAATCACCAGTAGCTCTAATGAGTTTGTTCTGTTGGTAGCTACAGTGGTTTACTATTTTAGTTCTGCTGTTTTTGGTTTTAAGATGCTTGTGTGTTTGTGTTCGTGTCTGTCATTTGAAATATGTCTGCTTTAAACCACGAGAGAGTACGTTTTGAAAACTAAGTGGTTATTTCTCTTTAAGGGAACATCTCCAATCCTTTTTCTCTCCCTACACATCACACACACACACACACACACAAAATCATGCAGACGTGTACTTACATACACTCTTGCATGAAGTGTAGAGCAGGGAGAGGTTTGCTGGATTCAAGAGCGGGTGCATTCCTTGCTATAATGGGATAACTAGATCACACACACACACACACACACACACACACACACACACACACACACACACACACACACACACACACACACACACACACACATTATCCCACTTGATCCCTGAATACATAAAGAGACAAAGTTTGACCACTCAGACTAAAAAGGACAATTGTTTTTGGGACAATTCCTGAACCCCTTTGGATGGAAAGTGCTTCACAGCATTGCACTTTAATAATTATTCTTTTTTTTTTAAATATGTACTGAAAACTTTAGAGTTAATAGTAGATGACATTATTACACATGTTGAAACTTTAATCAGAATGGTGTTAATCTTAACATCTTACTTTTGGCAGGACAGAACATTTTTATATTTCCTAAAATGCTATGCATCAATATTTGAGTAATCAACACGTCCTTCTTCTTTTGGCATTTTATTCTACCTGCCTTGCATTAAGAATGAACTGCTAGCCAGTAGTTCAATTTCCATCTTATTCTACATGGCAGATTGTTTTTAAATGCCACAAGCTTTAGAAAAGGATTTCAGCTAAATTGACTGCCTTGTTCCCACAGACTTGGTTAAATCCTGAGCAGAGCTGAGAGAGTAGCGTTCAGGACAGCAGATGTTTGACTCTTGTTTCCAACAGCTGAGTCTGCACGCTGATTTTATTTTAAACACCGCCATCTGGTTTGGAAAGACTCAGTCCATCTTTTCCCTTTTCTTTTTTTCTCTGCTGGCTCTGTCCTCTTCCCCTCTTTGTGCCCTATCTGTCTGATTCTGCACAGATTTGAGCCTGAACACTACCATCTGCTTACATGACAGCCTGACCCAATGCTTCTTCCCCTTCCTTTCGGTTTCTCTCCTTTATTCTGTTCCTACTCTTTTCTTCTCTTGCATCCTTTTTGACTCGTTTCTCTTTCCTGTTCTATCTCTCGCTTCCAATTTCTCTCTCGTCAACACACTCTTTTCTGTTTTCTCCTTTATTCCCTCCACTCCTCCATCGCCACACTTACAACCCTGCTGCCAGCTGCTCTCTCACAGACAGATATGCACAACACATGCTCAGCTGACACTCTCCGCCAAGTGTGTGTGTGTGTGTGGAGAGGGAAGGAGTCATAATGTGAGGAGCTACGTGGGAGTTAAGAGTTTTTCAAAACTATGAGTTAGATGTATGCTATTTCTTCGGGTTTCTTTTTGCAGTTCTGATTTTTCTGTACACGTGCTTTTGAATATCAAGAAGCCTGCATTCTGTAGAGCACGGTAAACTGAGCAACGTGTGCATGATTTTCCCTTTTGTTTTTGTGTTTGTGTTTTTTGTTTTTTTTAACTTGCAATCCTGTGTTGTGTAATGCATCTTGCTTTTTTAACTTAATTTGTATCTAATGCTACAGAGACTGATGACTATGCTGAAATAGTGGATGAAGAGGACACGTACACTATGCCCTCAAGTAAGTAACTTTTTTTTGTGTACATAATATCTGCAAAATAAATTATATATAGTCTCAGCTTCTTTTAAAAAGCAGCAAGAGAACTGTAAAAAAACTACTATTTCACCGTTATTCTTCAGTCAACTGCGTCTTAATTGCAGTCTGCTTTCTAATAGCAGCGTGTGGTGTGAATCTCATCCAGGAAACGCACTCACACATCAGAGAGTTCAACAGTTAAAGTAGGCTTTGTTCAGTAATGGCCGTTTAGAATTCAGTTCAGATTCACCGTCTGACGTAAACATGTGGAGGTCAGAGGATCTTTATCTTATACTGTTAGCGGTATGTACTCTCAGTACATCTGTCAAATTCATTCATATGTTAAACAAAAAGCCATGAAATGTGTTGAAGAAGTTAAGCTCCATTGGCTGTGGACGTTTGGGCCAGTGCTCATGTGTTTGATTGCGTGGCCAACTTGAGAAAAAAACAAAAAAACAAATAGACTGTGTTCTCCTTTCTTCCCGCAGTCTTTTTTCTATATCTCTCTCTCCGTCTGGCTTCACCTCTTTTGTCTGCTTCTTTTTACTTCCTCTATATAACAGACATCTGACATATTATCCTTCGCTGAGTCTGAGCTTGTATGTGTGTCTTCTTTCTGTTTTAAATGAAGCTGCGTAACAATAACCACCTTTTATCAGACGTATAGATCTTTTAACAAAGTTGACGTGTCAGCTAAACATCAGATAAAGTGTGTAAACGTGTTTGTTTGTTCTGAGCTGTTTTCAATCTTAAGCTTCTCTCTGGCTCTCTCTCTCTCTCTCTCTCTCTCCCTCCCTCTCCCTTCATCTCTCTTTCTTCCTTTTCTCTCCCATCACCAACACAGTCAGCTATGGAGTAGTTGAAGGTAAAACTCACTTCCTGTGAAAAAGATTCACATTTTACATTCCCGTTCATGCTTTTCTTTGCCAGGCACAATCTAACTTTTTAACGATGCTAATCAAAGCAATTGGTGCATCCTCAATCCGCGAGATTTCCAATTTATTTTCTTGAGTATCGGCATCTATTAGCGTTTTTTGAACAGTAAAAACAGTTAGAGTTGTAGTGACGTTAATTATTAGTATCTGGCAAAGAAAAACACAAGACTTGAGACACTAAACCCGCAGATTGTTGTTGCCTTTGTGGTCATTCGTGTTTGGTAGAAGTTCATTTGGATCTGGTGATGGAAAAAAAAAAAAAGAAAAAAAAAAGAGGCAGTGCCAGTCCATAAACAATGCAAAGTGTTTCTTCATTAATCAGAATTCAAGAGCGTGCACTCTATCCAGACCTCTGGATCCAAACAGCCTCACAGTCCTCACATTGTTTATGGGCTTGGTTCTCATTTCACCATCATCATGTCAGTGTTTTCATTTGTTCATCCTGATTTATTCCAGTGGTTGATTGTTGTCTTCAATCAGTGGCTTTTTTTTGGGGTGTTTTGGAGCAACTTTTAATTCAGAAGAAAAGATGAAGTGCTGTTCATTTCATTGTATTGGAATGTGTTGTGGTTATGATTTGTGTGTGTGTGTGTGTGTGTGTGTGTGTGTGTGTGTGTGTGTGTGTGTGTGTGTGTGTGTGTGTGTGTGTGTGTGTGTGTGTGTGTGTGTGTGTGTGTGTGTGTGTGTGTGTGTGTGTGTGTGTGTGTGTGTGTGTGTGTGTGTGTGTGTGTGTGTGTGTGTGTGTGTGTGTGTGTGTGTGTGTGTGGTGTGTGTGTGTGTGTGTGTGTGTGTGTGTGTGTGTGTGTGTGGTGTGTGTGTGTGTGTGTGTGTGTGTGGTGTGTGTGTGTGTGTGTGTGTGTGTGTGTGTGTGTGTGTGTGTGTGTGTGTGTGTTCAATGTTTGTCTGTTGGAGTCAAATAGCAGAAGTGTGTATAGCCTAACAGATAAGTGAGCTTTTAGAAGATGGCCAATGTCCTGCACGATCCTCTTAAACTCTGACGTCCTTTTTGACTGCAGGTGATCAGTAGCTGACGTTAACTCTGCTGAAACAACTTTTACAACAAGGCTGAAATATATATAAAGCATCAATGTCAGCGTGGAAATGTCAAACATGCTGGTGCCAAACAACCACATATATTGAAATTATTTTGGATGACCTCACAGTTCATAAAGTAGTTATAGTGCGATGTCTCTATAGATCATGACACTTAGTTTAGAATCAGTCAGTTAAAGGGCAACATTGAGGCTTAGGTGATCTCTGCTTTTCAAAGAGTTTTAAAAAGAAACATGCTCTTTATTTTAAATGCACCGATCACAGATCTTTCTATGAATTAACCTTTTTGATAATCATCCATGTAGCCCAGATTTTTCCCTGAGTCAGCATGATAAAAGGACTCTGGCATACATGTTTCAGAGTTATTTCGAAGATATATTTACACATATGGTGCAGTGTGCCTGTTAAGTGGAAGTTTGTCTAATGAGGTGTTTGTTAATGGAATATAATCGGATCAACAAACTTGGGTCATAAGGTTTGTGTTTGGACATTGTTTTTGATTCATTTTGGTATCATTTGTTTTTATTTGTCTGAGGTTTACCAAAAAGGTTCAATCATTTGACTGGTATTAAATTAAAAATCATTTTTAAAGACTTTCACTTAAGCTCCTGTGATTAAACAGATTCATGATAACATCCAGATTGTTCTGTCCTGGTAATCCCCGTTCACAGATTGAAAACAAGCATGTCAGATGTGATGTTGTTGTGAGAAAACCAGCAGAACAAATCCATTCTCTCTTACGCTTTTTTTTTTTCTTACCTCCCCCTCTCTCAGCCCGGGATTATGAGATCCAGAGGGACAGGATCGAGCTGGGCCGCTGCATAGGAGAGGGCCAGTTTGGAGATGTGCACCAAGGAGTTTATAACAGCCCGGTATGGTGAAATACACACACCCAAACATTCATGCATCTTGACTAACAGTGGTAGAACAAGAATTTACTCATTAGAAATAAATGAATTATATTATTTGAGGCATTGCAGTAGAATGTTAATTTAAATAGCTTTAAGCTGAAATGTTTTGGAAAATACGTTTTCAGCTTTACTGATCTGGACAAAAAGGTTTAATAAAATGTGTAACTCAAAGCTCTTTATACTTGTTACTTCATTTGTTTGTTCTTTGGATACTAGTTTAAAGTTAATTGTATTCAGGCGTTTTTATATGTGTGTGTGTGTGTTATTGGTTTGTCTGTTTACTGCATCAAACATTAAAAAAGTTATTTTGTTGGTTAATTATTTAGAATTATTCCTGTTGAAAATAAATGTCATTTTTTTTAAAAGATACTGACTTCAACTAGTCACATCCTGTATTCTCTCTAATGTTATAACTTGTGGCGTGTTTCCTGCAGGACAAACCATCTCTACCTGTCGCCATTAAGACGTGTAAGAACTGTACGTCAGACAGCGTCAGAGAGAAGTTCCTGCAAGAAGCATGTAAGAGAACATTGATTTATTTAATGTGTGTGAAACCCCTTATGAAATACATACATTTCATTTGAAGTTAGTGTGTTAATGTGTGTGTGTTTTTGTCTCCCGTACAGTGACAATGCGACAGTTTGACCACCCTAACATTGTGAAACTGATTGGCGTGATCACAGAGAACCCCGTGTGGATCATCATGGAGCTCTGTACACTTGGAGAAGTAAGCCTGAGTAGAGTTTGTTTCACTGCGTGTGGCTGAAAATGGAAACTAGTCATCAGCTGTACAGTTATTTTTACATCATAGACTATATTAGATTTTCACAGTGCAACAGAAAAAACATTAAGTATCAATAATCGTACTGACAGTTAATCTGTGGTATGCTGTTTACATGAACCACAAACACAACTTTAGCCCTTTTCACACATGCACAAAACTCCTGAAATGTTTGCGTTTAGCTGCATGTGCAAACGCAAACGGCTCGATTCTTTGAAAATTACCACTAAATGACTCTCAAGCTGGACTCTTTTCTGGTCTCTAAAAACAAATCCTGTCTTCTAGTCCTTTGAGAACAAATGTAACACATTTTTAGAATTTTTAAAGACTGCCAAATATCGAACATTTCTCTCACATCATTGATTCATTACACTTAATACAATTTAACACATTTTAATGCAACTAGCCTAGGATGAGCTGATGTGTGAATGCAGCAGGTAACAAATTCACCTTGAGTGGTGGATGATTAGAACCTACACAACTAGTGCAATCTTTGTGCAATGAAGCAGTTTGGTACTCTTCTGCTCTGGTATCAGGCTCGTTTGCTTCTCATCCATCTGCTCACATCCTTTTTATGTCTTACGTCCATAAACCACCTGTCAGGGAAAATCTTCAGGCTGGGGAGGGAACACCAGTAAATAGGCAAATCAAGAAGATTTAATGGGCAGCCTGCTGTCCACATTTTCAAGAATTTGGGAGTGCATGTGTGTTGTAGATTTTTATTATAATGGTCTAAAGTTTATATATTGATTTAAAAACGTATATCTTAGTTTTGCATACCTATTGTTTTTCATTCTCAATATGATGTATATCATGTATATATATCACGTATATATGATGTTATGCAACAATAGAATTTCCCTCCAGGATTGAATCACTGCTTATCTCAAATACACCCTCTCCACCCCTGTTATTCTCTCTCTCTCTCTCTCTCTCTCGCTCTCTCGCTCTCTCGCTCTCTCTCTCTCGCTCTCCCCCCCCTACAGCTGCGTTCGTTCCTCCAGGTGAGGAAGTACAGTTTGGATTTGGCCTCTCTCATTCTGTTTGCCTACCAGCTCAGCACAGCGCTGGCATACCTTGAGAGTAAACGCTTTGTACACAGGTATAAACACACACACACACACACACACACACACACACACACACACACACACACACACAGATCTTGGACAGATTTACATTATTATTTATTATTATTTCAGATGCCCAAACTCATCTTTAAGGGTTTTTATTTCTTATATAATCATTTTGTATTTTTACTGATTTTGTGACTCCATGCACATGTCTGAAATCCCTTTTATTATTGACTTTTTTACTATCAGTGTGCACTAAATAGTTTCCTTTGTGGTTGAGGGATAATTAAGTATCGTAGTAATATAGACTTGCTTGGTTGGCATGTCTTGTATTGGCCCACCTTTAGTTATTTGAAGCTTTTTATGTGGGTGTAGTTTTTTTCTTTTGATGGCTTTATAGTTTTTTATTTCACTTAGATAAATTGGACAAATGTATTTCTATTTGTTGTCAAGTTTAAAAAAGGAAAACGTTGGCAGGCTGTAATTACATTGAGCCCTTCATACATATTTAACAATTTACAATCAAATCTTTGACGTGAGTAATAACAGCCACTGTTGACTTACAGGGACATAGCAGCTCGTAATGTGCTGGTCTCAACAGTGGACTGTGTGATGCTCGGGGATTTTGGTCTGTCACGATACATGGAGGACAGCTCGTACTACAAAGGTAATGATTAGTACTGAGCATCGACTCACTGCTTTGTAAAAATACATCCAATACAGCTGTTGGTGTCTTTTTACCTCTAATCCAGACTATGTGGATATGTTTTCTGGGTACTGGTACGTTACCACCATCAAAAGGTGAAATCAGGGTACTGCAGTTTATCTGAAATGCCTTTTGCTCATATTGTGAAAAGAGTTTCTTCTCTAGTTTCAAAAACTTTGAGATATTGCCTAACTAACAGAGAAATAAAATGTCTGTTTTTAAAATCATTGACAGGTACTTTACATGTTCTGTGTTTGTCTCAGCTTCTAAAGGAAAACTTCCCATCAAATGGATGGCGCCTGAATCCATCAACTTCAGAAGATTCACCTCTGCCAGTGATGTGTGGATGTTCGGTGAGTGTGCATGCTTGTGATGTGTTTATTTCCCGCTCTGGAAAATAATAATTTAACAGTAAATCATAGGAGAAATACTCCTTTGCTACACTTGCTCTTCCACAGCTGCTCACAGATTTTGGAGGATTTTCCTGTTCCCTCTCATGTTGACGTCCGTTTGTTTCCTCTGTCTCTCTGTAGGAGTGTGTATGTGGGAGATCTTGATGTACGGCATCAAGCCTTTCCAGGGGGTGAAAAACAACGATGTGATAGGCAGGATAGAGAACGGCGAGCGTTTGGCTATGCCCCCTCAGTGTCCGCCCACCCTCTATAGTTTGATGACCAAATGTTGGTCATATGACCCGAGCAAGCGGCCGCGATTCACCGAGCTCAAAACACAACTCAAGTAATTCAATATTTGTCTGTTCTTGCTGGTTTGTGATTTCTACTATTATTTTGACAATTGAAATTGGGAAAGCATGCGTTGCCATTTCCACACAAAGTTCAACCAGAAGATAAGCATCACATTCACTCTTAATACATATTGTCAGTAACTTCAGTTCCACATACACCAGTAGTACATTAGATTAAGATAAACTTCATCTCAATGGACATTTTCTTAATGGAGGATTCAAATTCTTTATGTACATTTTTGTGATTATACTTTCACTCTCTTACGTAATGTTTTCAATGCAGAACTTGCAGTACTGGAGTATTTTTGAATGCTTGTTAAGATGAGCTGTGTGTGTGTAACGTCCTGCAGCACCATACTGGAGGAAGAGAAGCTTCAACAAGAGGAGAGACTTCGAATGGAGATGAGGAGACAAGTCACCGTGTCCTGGGACTCTGGAGGCTCTGATGAAGCACCGCCCAAAGTGAGACTGAATGATCATATTAGTGACGACGTTCTCTCATTAGTTTTTGTTTCTAGTTCTTGTGATTTCTGTGGCTGACAAACTGTTTCTGTTTCTTTCTGTCTGTAGCCCAGTAGACCAGGATACCCCAGTCCTCGCTCCAGTGAAGGCTTCTTCCCCAGCCCCCAACTCAATCACTTCTCGGTACAAAACACACACACACACAGACACACACACAGACACACACACACACACAGACACATATACTGAATACACAAACGTACAGTACAAACACACAGCTTTCTTAGTGAACAAACTGTGCTACTGTGTTTAGTGCTGACCAAGTTGAATCCTGTGAAGAATATAAAGTCAAAAAGTCCAAGAAAACTTTTTGTGAAAATTGATCATTTCAACTCTAAAAGTGATTTCAGTCTCCAGGTTGAGAATAACTCTAAAGAAGACAGACTGTGTCTGAGGACAGCAGGCGTGTGATGCATGTGTCAAAGTCAGAGAAAATAAAAACTTATTCCTCTCCCCGTAAACCGAGCAGACAGAAGGCATTTCCTGTAGTGCTGAAAGCACACACACACACACACACACACACACACACACACACACACACACACACACACACACACACACACACACACACACACACACACACACACACACAATTATAGCTATTCTCCGGCTTTTAGGGCAATAAGCTGCTCTCTCTCTCTTTTTTCTCTCTCTCTCTCTCTCTCTCTCTCTCCGCTTTGTCCTTATAAGGAGTGCATGATCTGAACTGCTATAGTCAAACTTGATCATATCACAAACAATAAGCACATTCATTTATTTTGGTAGCATGGATTACACAACAGACGGCAGTTGCACAAGAAATCCCAGAAATCCATGGCGTCTTAACAGTTCAGTTTTTGTCCTTAAAACAGTGTTTGTTCTGATTTGATGCATCAGAGACTCCTTTTATGAGTTTATTTGGAAAAATGTGAAAATCCTGCAGTTTCTGAATTCTTTATCTTCTTCACTTTAACACGAATCAAAGCAGGACTAAGTAACAACATTCCCAAAGGTTATGCGATTTGAAGGAAAAACTAGATTTTTGTAATTCAGACAGAGAGGCTTAGTCCACTTTGAAGCTGCCTTCAAAATATGAGACCATTTAAACTCTTTAACCTTGACAATGTTAACCTTTATGACTCATGTTTTATGTTTTTCAAAGATGTTTCTCACTTATTTTGATTTGCTGCATTCCATGGAGTTTTCCAACCTTTGTTGTTTGAGGACATTAAATCATCCATGAAGCTAATATAGTAGAATGAGAAAAACTAACACAAAGTTATGGATGAAGAATATTCTTAATAAGGGTTAATACTGGAGGATTTCAAATATTTGCTGCTTACACTTAACAAGCTTGAATGTTTTTTAAGACTTTTTTCCTGCAAAACAAAAACAAATCCTTCAATGTTGATGCCTTTTTAAATTTGTGTTACTTATGTCTTTTTCTCTCTTCGCCCCTCTCTCTGTCTCCCTGTCCTTCTCCAGTCGACAGTCCATGGTGGTGTAGGAGGAGTAGGAGGCAGCTACCCTCCTTCTGATTCCTGGAGCCAGCACAGACCTGAACACACAGCCCTGTGGAGCCCTAGCATGGAGGTTAATACACACATAATCATATCAAAGTGTGCAAACACATATAAAACTACTTTATTGAGTATGCATTGACAGTTTCATAAGAACATTTGAAAGAAGATTACACTGAAATGACACCCATGATAAAATCCATGAGGTGGTAAGAGCAGATGTTTTCGTATTTTCTGTCACACCTAAACCACTTAAATCACTGAGAAATGAATGAATTCAGTCTCCATGACATGTGAGTAACAAAACAGAAACATGTCATTATGCCGTTCCCTTACAGTTTTATACGTGTCAGCTTTCATTTAAGTTGATGTAACTTACTTCATTTTGAATAAGCATACAGTAGTACAATGCTGGCACTTCAATCATACGTTAAGGTGTTTTTACATGCTGGGACACAAAGTAAGTGCAGTCAAAATAATGTTCAGAATGGAAACTTGATCCCTGCACTCATTGTTTATGTATTTCAGATCAGCACACAGCTACTGAGTATCAATACGTTGTCAGCTTATAAAGATGATTGAGGTGATCACGTTGCTTTACTGAACAAGTTCCCCTCTAGTCTACTATTGGGAAATAAAAGATTTAGATTTCATTGTTTGTGTGGGGCACCGATAGCCTAGCGGTAATTTTGAAAGCCCCATGTACAGAGGCTGTCCTTAAAGCAGGCATGCTGGTTCAAATCCAACTTTGGCTCCTTTCCCACACATCAATCCCCACTCTCTCTCTCTCTCTCTCCCTGATTTTCAACTCTATCCACTGTCTTATCTCTTAATAAAGGAAATGATACAGATTTCATTGTTAGTGTGATAAATGTTTTTAAAAAATCATGAGAAAGAAATTCTCATTTAAACCCGCCCTGTTTTCTTCAGGAGAGCGGGTGTGTTGGCCATGCCATGATGGAGGAAAGACTGATCATGCAGCAACAGCAGATGGAGGACGACCAGCGGTGGCTGGAGCAGGAGGAGAGCTTCATGGTAATCACTTTTATTTTTTTTCCCTCTGTGATTGTTTGCCATATTTTCAGCAGAACACCATCACTGCAAATGGGCCATTCAAGGGAAATTCCTGGGAAATGTTCTACCAAGTCATTCTGTCTCGTGAATCCTACCCCTTTGCACTCAGAAGCCTCAGTTGGAAAAGTTTGAGAAATATGACTCCACAATTAACATTTATCAGAGTAACCAGGAATAAGTTCTCCCTACTAATTAAAATGTTACAGTCTCTGAGTCAGACTGGAAATAAACACAGAAAGTACCCCTCCTTTAATGAGCGTTTGTAGCTCACTGGAGAGGAATCTGCTCCTTACAGCAACATGACATCGACTATGCTAACATGAGCTACCTGCTGTCCCACTCAGGCTGAGTTGTTTGTTTGTTAGCATTTAGGATGCTCTACATTCATCGATGCATGTTACAAAAAAGGAGCATAAGATTGAATGTTTTTATTTGATGATGATAAAATAATAACCTTATTATTGAAGAAATAGATTAAAAAGACTGCTCATCTAATGGAATAGTATTTATAAAACTGAAGTGTTTTTAATCAATCAGTGGAGAAATATAAACACTTTGATTTCACAACCATGTAAAAAAAAAAAAATGGTCTGCAAGAATCATCAAAAATGTTTATCAACAAAACTTCAACAAAAATGTCTAAAAGGAAAAAAATAAACATTAAAGCAATGATATCCTATTAGCTCCCCTCAACTCAAAGTGTCTTTATCTGTCTTGTATTCAGATTAACTACAGGAACTCTTTGCACTGTCTCAGTTTTAGTTGTGTCATCAGTCACTGAAATCTTTCCCCAAAAGGAGCCAAACTCACGACTTTTAAAAAACAGCTCTGTTTTTCTCCTCTCGTTGGGACAGATTGTTTCTCTTCTTGCTTGATTTGCTATTTTCCTTTTAAGCCAAGTGTAGGAGTAGTGAAAGACAGGAGGAAGGGGATAAAGCACAGAGATGAAGGTTAGGGAGCCATGTGGTATCTTTTTGTGCATTCTTGCTGATTAATCTGGTGATCTTGTCATGATCTTGGCACATTAACCGCTCCACACAGGAGTAAATGTCTCAGGACCGCCCTGCCAGACTGAAATCCTGACAAGATATTTTGTTATTTTGTAACCACTGGGTGAAGATTGTTGTTTCCTGACCCATATGTTCCAGTTCCTCTCCACTCACACCTTCACAAACCTTTGAGCAAACACTTCATTAAAGCTGACGCTCTGGAAGAGGCAGAGGAACTCAAATGTAACCGCTGCTCAGATACTTTTCATTCCCTCTGATGCACCATGATCGTAAAACCACAGGTCAGCTTACAAACAATAAAGTCAGTGTGAAGAAAGTCAATCCTGACTCTGTTAACTGTGCTCTACTCGGATAACGTTACAGTACTACTAGCAGCTGAACAAAACTGTGTGTTCAGTGTCACTGATGATCAGTGTGACACTCAGCTGATCAGACCACAAAACAACAGTGAGAGGGTTTTTCTTTTTTTTTTTTAAGGTGGTGTAGTTTATGAATGCTGTCTGGCTGTAGCCTTTTATATCAACATTTCTTGTTTGAAGGAATTTGAATTGACTAAGCACTCCAGCATTGCATTAAGACTCTATAGTCATTATTGAAGACTAACCTGTCATTTAATAGCTTTCCAAATATGGTCAAGAGTGTTCCTCATCTGTGACCATCAGAGGGGTAATGGCATTACTTTAAAGTCTTTTTATTTCACACATAAGAATCCCTCACAGTCATTGTCTTTCTTCTGTGACAGTATTGACTGTTACAAACAAAAGGCATGTGCTGAGAACTGTTACTTAGTTGTCCGTAAAAAGAGATAAAGCAGGACTATCCAGGGAAAAGTGTTTGTTGATTATTTATCTCTTCTGTAGTATATGTATAATTACTTCACTACTGACTTTTGGTACAATTATAAATGAGAACTCTGGTACTTTACTCAAGTATTTTATTTTTCTCTTACTTTATACTTTATAGCATTTAGTGATTTTTATAATATAATTCATGTATTTTTGGTACATTACTTTCAACTACGGACAGAATATAACGTTGTTAGAACTGGCGTCACTTCAACCAGCTGGAGGAAAACAGATGTACATTTTGCTACACATCTGGGGCGCCGATAGCCTAGCGGTGGTGATGCGCCCTGTGTGTGGAGGTTGTGGTCCCTGGCGCGGCTGCCCTGGGTTCAGGTCCAGCCTCTGCCCTTTGCTGCATGCATATTTTTCATTGTGGTATTAATACATTTACTGAATTAGCATTTCTTCTCTTGTAGTGTGCTCTCTGTAGGATAGATGAGTTCTTTGTTGAAATGACTAATTAACTGTGGGATGACTTAAAAAGTGGATTAACATGAGGATTAAACAGAAAGCAAAGAGGGGGAATGTAAATAAGGTCTGAAAAGAGAGAGATGGAAGTTTGATGAGGAAAAAGAGAAGACATGAGGACAGAAGGAGGGGAAAGGAAGTGGGATTGGCAAGGGCCATGGAGAGGGTGGATCGAACGAGGAGTCAGCCATCAGAGGGAGAGAGAGACAAGGAGGAGGAGGAAACAGAGGGAGATCCAGAGAGATGGAAAAAGTGGGAGGGAGAGAAACAGAGGAGGCTGTTGGATCTTTTTCTCTGCAGGATTTTGTCTCTGTGGCTCAGTGGAGCTTTTCCTCCTCTGGAAAAACTTTCTCTCTCTGTCTCTCTCTCTGTCTGTCTTTTCCTCCCCCTTCATTCTTCTCTGACTCAAGCTTCCTGCCTTTCTCCGTTTATTTCTCTTAGTTGCTGCTCCATCTTCCACGTTCTCTCTCTTCTAGTCTGTCTTATGTCTTGACTTTTTCCTTACTTCCGTCTCTTTCTTTCATACTTTCTGTCTATATCTTTGCCCTTCTTTCGATGGCCTCCACTCTCTGCTTACCTCCTCCTGTTCTTCTCAACCTCTATTCTCCCAGGATGCATCTCTTCAAGGCGTGCTTCACCAATACGGTACTGAAACAGGGAAAGACAGAGGCAGTTTGGGGTCATGTTTGCTTTTAATGCTGGATGTGGACTGAGATGTTTACTGATCATGTTCAGTGTTGAGGCAGTGGAGATTAAAATTGAACTGCACTTAGTTATTGGTTGAATCATAAATTCAGAAATTTGGGGAAAAACTTTGCATGTTTCTGTTTCCCTATGATCTGATTTGCATAGAATGTATGTCTGTTTCCCTTTAGGTATCAAACTGTTTACTGGTTGAGTTAAGAGTTTTTTTTTCTATTTTAGTCAGTGACTCTTTACTAGAAGTACCTTGACAAACCAATGCTCCAAAACAAATACTTATTGATTGTTTTAAGATTTATAACGTGTCCTTTTGTTACATCCCTGCAGAAGGCAGAGTCCAGAAACAGCAGAGGAAGCATCGACAGAGAGGACGGCACACTACAAGCACCGGTCAGTCACTGTGTGTGTTTTTACCTGATAGAAAAATATTGGTGCAACACAGAGAATCCCTAAAAGAAGCAAAGAGGAGAAATATAGGAAATGTTAATTTTGCAAGAGGGCGGCCGAGGGAAAGAATTCAGACAGACAGAGAGACAGAAAGAGGAAATACAGCCACTGTGAGAAGAGAAAGTATTTCTGTCTGAGTGCCAGCGAGGGTACTGCCTACACACCAACCACATGACCACAGAGGGCTCATGGGAACTTTAAACCCAGAAGCACAGGCTGTACAGTCCCATTTAACTGTAAATGTGGGATAAAATATCTGAAAACAAAGTGAAATCAAAGGCAGAAAGCTTCCTCAGATCTACACATGGTACCAGCCGGAGCAGAGTAAAGTTTGAAATAACAGCTTCAAATGTTGGGGGGTCGATTCTTATATTTTAATTCACTTTAAGGCAAATGTGTCCTTTTATTGAAAGATTTTGTCTTTGATAGTTAAAGATGAGTGGAAGTGTATCTTTTAACCTGGTGTGTTGATGTGTGTTTGTGTGAACAGGGAGGAAGCCAACACATCTACCAGCCTGTAGGGAAACCAGGTGAGCGCACCAGCATCCCTACTGTGAACATTTGAATTAGTGATCATACGCTGAAAGAAATAACATTAATAATCCTTTGGGAACTGATCACATGTATTTTATGTTCATTTATGATCTGCCACTGAGCAGTATCTACAGCCTAGATGTAAGAGATGTGTACAATATTTCACTCTGAAATGGAGTACAATAGAAGTTTTCAGTTTCTTAAGATGCTCAAATTGAAACTTCAATACATTTCACGACTGCAGCTATTGCGCACAATACTTGACATGCTCACATTAAACATACTGATGATACTCAAACTCCTCTTTTTAGAACATGTGGTGCCTCCGAAGAAGCCTCCTCGCCCCGGTGCTCCTGGTCACCTTGGCAACCTGGCCAGCCTCTGTCCCATTGACAGCTACAATGAAGGGGTTAAGGTAGATATGCTGACATACAGTGCACATGTTAGTGAACACATATCCTTCACTGCCATGATTTTAGGCTATTTGAATTCTGTAAGTCTGTCTGGTCTGTATTTGATTGTGCCTGCATGCTCGGTTTGGATATTTCTATTCTGGTTAAACTGTCATGAGTTGACATTGACTTTATGATTCTGCTGATGGGTTGCATGTTGTGTCACTTTGTGTTTGGCCTCGGCCCTAATGTGCTGTCCCTCTTCTCTCTCCCTTCTTCCTCCTCCTCCATGACATTGACATAAATCCTTTTCTCTGGCTTCTTTCTGTTTAACATCCTGTCACCTTCTGTCTCTCTGCATCCATTTCTTTACCCGTCAAACCTTTTCCACTTCCTGCACGATCTGCACACACCATTCCCTTCCACCTCTTCTCTGTCAAACCCTTTCCCACCCAACCCACATCTCCTTCACCTCGCTATAGCCGTGGAGGGTAAGATGATCGTTTCGTGTGTCTGTCGTCATGGTAGAGTTAGTGAGTTAGCTGATAGTTACTAGTTTAATCATGACTTGTGAAGCAATCGGAATTTCACTCAGGTTATTTTCCTTTACCAGAGATAAAAATAAAAAAAAAATACAGGAAAGCAGATACTTGACATTTAGAACTGTATTCATGACAAACTAATCTAAAGAAGGGCTTTAAAAAGATCTCAAGTTCAAAAGCAAAGACGTGAGTAAGATGTTTTTGAGAATTCCAAAAGCAGAGATTTTACATTTTTTTTTATATAACACAAAAGTTTGTCTTCTTGTTCAACCTTTCTCTATCCAAAGTAAGGAGCACAGCCAGAGTGACACTTAAACAATGCATCTGGTTTCGATGTAGTTGTGATGTCCATGTTGAATCAAATGTATCAAAATACCTCTGGTAAAGAAAAAGCCAAAGTGTAACAAAGAGTCAACATTATGTTTTTCTTATATCATCTCAAGCACTGTAAATGTCTGTCTTTCATTACAACTAGAGTTATGTCAAGTGATTGTAGTTGTAGTGACATAGTCACATGTAGTATAAGTAGTTCATATCAATAACTTGTTATCTCTTCGTTGTAGAAGAAACACACACCCAGATGTGCATTACGGTTGTTTGATGTGATTTGTGATACTCAGAAGACACTGAGAGATAAATTGGTTTTAAGGAGTCATACAGAAAATATAATTTTTATTTTAATGAGAGACTTTTTCTCATTTGAAGACAAAAAAATACGAGACTGATTTTCCATTTAAGTAAAGGCCTCTACAGAGCTCTATCTGGCTGCACCACACCTTGGAAAAACTGTTGTGACCACATCTTTAAACTGAACTTTTGTCCACTAGGGGACTTATGACGGGAAAATACGACACCTACGTATCAACTTGTTAAAGATGCAAATTAATTATCTTGCTTGAAAGTTACTTCAAACATGCAGCTGAGTTTTAGAGTGTGTATCTGTTTAGTCCTACGAGCAGCGGCTTCAAATTAAATAAAATGATTTGTTATGACATCAATGTAAAAAGTGTTTCGTAATGCAGGGCTAGTCCATCACAAGAGAACTCACTCTGTCTTCATTTCAATCTGTACTAACAACCCTGCACACTCCTATCATAATTAAAACAGATATATATATATATATATATATCCAATGTGTGTAGAAATGCATGTAGACATAAATAACACAAAACTGTGAAAGTAAGAGTGAGTGTGTGAAGACTAGTCCAACACTGCCTCCTAGTGTTGTGTCTGGCTAACTACAGTCATTTGTTACTAATGGTAACTAATGGTTTTTGTAGAGCCTGAGTTTTAAGTGTAGCACATTTCCTAAAGAGAAATAATTTAATACACTTTTTTAAAGAATTACTAAAACAGAATCTTCATAATATCAGAAGGTCCTCTCTGTAATTCAAGTTTTGATCCAAAGGTCTTGAAAACCTTCAACCAGGTCCAGTTGCCTTTTGGGTTAAACCTTGAATTGCCATGACCTGGTTAACTGAGAACCTAAACAGACTTCCTGAATGTAACTCATTGAGTGTCCCTTCTTGGTTCAGCTGCAGCCTCAGGAGATCAGCCCGCCACCCACTGCCAACCTGGATCGTTCTAATGACAAAGTCTACGAGAACGTGACGGGTTGGTCAAAGCTGTGATTGAAATGTCCAATAGGATTCAGCCTGCGGCCCCTGAGGAGTACGTCCCAATGGTCAAGGTAGGGTCGATATTTACTCTCTGAAAGGATCACGAGGTAGAAGGTACAACTGTAACATGCAGTCGTCTTGAATAAGTCATCAATTTAAAGGAGTGAATAAACTAAAGACTGATGATGTACATTTTCATTTGTGTGTGTTTGGTAGGAGGTTGGTCTGGCGCTGAGGACTCTGCTCGCAACAGTGGATGAGACACTTCCTGTACTGCCTGCCAGCACACACAGAGAGGTGAAGACATGGACACATGTGCTCCAAACCACACTAACACACATACAATAATGGAGATTGAAGACACGACTGGGAAGTCGAGTAAAATGTGATGTTGAATTGTATACATGCAAACATAATGGAAGAGGACAAGGGCCACTATTTATTACATTTTTTAGTTCAGACTTTAAACTCAGAATTCTGCCTTTTTACACCAAAGGCCCGTTTCTACTTTCCTCTCTGTCGCTCGCTCAGACATTGACGTGAAACGAGGAAGGAGGGGGCTTTACAATGCACCTGCTTTTCTCGCTCAACAGAGCGGGTCAGCTTGTTTGACAAAGTGGAGATAGTGGTGCATAAATAATATCCACATCCGTGATTAAAATGTTGTGCTTCGACTTGTGTCAACACCGGAGATAAACGTCTTCATTAACGAGCTTGTGTTGTGCTTTGGGTCAACAGCTCGTCAATAGAAAGCACCACACTTCCATTTGTCCACCTTTAATACAAAATCACTAGATGTTATTCTGTTTGGAAGGGGGAAACTGAAATTCAAAGCACAAAGAATGAAATACTAATTGGATGCAGTGTGGACAGCCAGCAGGCGAATCGTGCAATTTGGTGGGATATGTTGTTAGGACCACAGATTGAAAAACTCAGAGGTTTTAATTCTGAGAAATAAATCAGAACTAAAAACAACATGTGGTCCTAATCCTCTTCTGGTCAAACATGTAAGAACAATTTCAAAAGCAAGTTGACTCGGCTAACTAGTATGATGCAATATTAAATATGTTTTCCCTTTGTCTGTTGTTATAATGCTGCTTGATGGAGCATATAGTGTTTTGTGTTTTTCTTGTTTTAATGAATGATTTTGACTTTTGTCTTTGTGTTATCTCAGATTGAGATGGCCCAGAAGTTGCTGAATTCAGATCTGGCCGAATTAATATCCAAGATGAAACTGGCTCAGCAGTATGTCATGACAAGGTAAAAAAAAAAAAACATATATGTGAAACCGATCCTGCTCGTTTCTTTTCTTACAATGCAATGTTGTCATATTGTTGTCATATTGTTTTTCTGTGTTTCTGTAGTTTACAAAAGGACTACAAGAAACAGATGCTAATGGCAGCTCACGCCCTCGCAGTCGACGCCAAGAACTTACTGGACGTCATTGACCAATCACGGCTCAAGATGATCACCCAGCCCCGCCCACATTAGTTACTGTGGCTTGGGACTCAGAGTGCAGTGCTTTTATCAAGTAACAAGCAGAGAGGACGTTTGGTTGGATTATCAGAGATGGACAGATGATGAAGTGAACTTATGGAGAGCAAACGTGACTGAAACAATCAGCTCTCTCTTCTCCCTCAAACACTCATCGTTTCTTTTTTCTCTCTCTGCCATCGGTCATGTCAGTCAATTGTGCATTTGTTTGTTTTGTACTTTTGTTACATTATCTGCTTTTGTATCCAGAGACACACTCCTCTCCTCAATCATGTATCTTACAGAGATGAGTTTTAAAAAAAAAAGCATCCATTTTTATTTTTAATTTTCAAGTGAATCAAAGGTTTCAGAGGCTCGCATGAAGGACTGCAGACACACATTTTGCAGATGGATATTTGCTACATAAAACCTCTCCACAAACGCAGGATGTTACAACTGGAACTGAAGAGCCAGGATGAGGAGGAAAATGAAGACGATGCGATCATGTTGTTGTTTAAAAAATGCTTTTATATCGTTATGAATTCTAATTATTTCTATTTTCAGCCTTGACTTTACAGTATAAGTCAGGTTTTCAACTTTCCTTTTTGAATGGGCAAACATAATTGCTTTAATGATCCTTTTTCATGTCATATTTCGTGTCTTTTTCATCCTCTTTTCTAGAAGTCTCGATCTCAGGCGACAAGAGTTGGCAAAAAGACAAAAAAATACTAAGAAAGCCGAATATTGAAGAACAAACTAAATGTCACAGGCCACTTTTTTAAGTTAACTTACATAGTAAATATACAGAGAAGCTATATTTTTAACATGTGTCAGAAGCATGATTGGTTAGTGAATGGGGGGGAGGAGGCTGAGAAATGGAGGGAGGGTTATTCTTTTTTTGCAGTCAGTGGAGGTGCAGACTATCCTGTAACAGTAGGTCATCTTGTGCCTAGTTAACTGTGTCATTGACTAAAAGAAAAAACTCTTCACTCAAAATACTCTGGTTTTAAATTACTCAAGAAGAACAGTTTTAGCTGCAGCTCACCTGTTATTTTGCATTACTCTGCATTATAAAATAAAAAACAGTTTGGTCACTGTATTTTTTGTTCTGTATGTTGAAGTTTAAGTTGTTGCACCGATCATGTTTGGGGTGATTTTCAACGTTATGCAGAATAGTTTGACATGTTAGTTTTGACTGTTTCTCTCCATATTGCAGCTAGATCCACATAAATCAGGGTTCCTATTAAAGCTCCTTTCTTCATCAGCCCTCCTTTCCCTGTCCTTCTACCTCCTTCCAGTGGAGTTATTTAAACCTCTATCCCCCCTCGTCTCCTGCTTTCTATCCTCCTGTTACTATCCCACCCTTTATCTCCGTCTTCCTCTCCTCCCTCTCAGCTTATCGCTCCATCCCACTGCTCCCTCTCCCCCTGAGGTGAGTAGTATTCTCAGGAAGGAGTCACATGTACAGTTGCTGAACCAAGCAAATAAAACACTGTTATCATAAAGAAATCATGTGTCTCTCTTTATAAACTGCTGTCAGCAGTGTTGGTCACAAGCAAACCAGGTTTTGTCATGTTTATTATTAATTGATCATCAAAACTGACTCAAGGGGCCAAAGAGGCCACACATTTTTTGTGTTTGAAGAAAACAGGATCCTCACATAGCATAATTTAACTTTTTCATTTAACAATTAGTCACAGGCCAGACATCGCAGCCTACAGTATCTGAGGTGGAATACTTATTCTACAGCAGGTGAAAATGTCTTTTCATCTGAGTACACAGTGAACAGAAAAAGGAACAAACCAATCCCTACCCAATGACTGATGTTATTACATGTACAGAGCTTAATTATTTTAGTTCAGCTCAGAAGTCAATAGGTGCCAAGTATTTTCAAATGTCTCAAGTTTGTTCTTAAGACTATCTATTTGTTCCTTAAAGTGTTTGTCAACTCAGTTAAAATGACAAAGTACTTCTTTCTTAAAGAAACAGTTTCTTAGCAGTGAAAATCCCAAAAGATAGAAGGCACAGCTGAGCGACTGATCAACTTTTCAACCCTGCAGTTACTGAGAATTAATACCAGATCAAGTTAGATTTCAGCCCCCAGAATCTCTGACTAAGATTCCAATCCAGAAATTCTACTAATTGGGACAGACTGCAGTTCCGTTAGTTTTTTTCTGGTTAAGTCACATTCATCAATGTGGTGAGATTTCATGTACTATTCTGTCATTTGGACTTTAAGTGCAATATTTTAAATTTAATTAAAATATGTGCAAACAAACTTCTGAGGTATCCTCTGATAATAGTTAACCCATTTCTACCTCCCAGTCCACCTCAAGAGTGTCAGTAGTTTGAGGCTATATTTGGTCCACTTAATATTTAAACTAAAAATGTATTTGGGTGAAGAGTAAATCTAAGGTGGTTGCAACATGACATTTCTTAGACACAAGTTATGTTTGTATACAAGTTGTGCATGAAGGAAAAAGCTAAGACAAGGTGGCAGTCTTTTTGTGGTTTTATTGTGTTTTTACAAAAACAGCCATTTTAATCAAAGAGACCGAAGCCCATGTCATCATCGGACTCCTCAGACTCTTCCTTCTTCTCCTCTTTCTTCTCCTCCTCCTTGGCTGTAGGGATGAAAGAGGTGGAATTGTTAACATTAGAGGACACACAAAACTCGTCCTTGCAGTATAAGTAACACGTGGACTACATAACACCCTAACAGAAGTATGTGGATCATATTTATCATAAGCCTTTCTAAATCCTGATATTCAACTTCATCCACAGTTTGTGCAGTTACCTGGGGCGTCACCAGTAGCAGCTGCTGCTCCAGCAGCAGGCGCACCAGCTGGAGCTCCACCACCAGCTCCAACGTTGCAGATCAGGCTGCCGATGTCAACGCTGGTAAGAGCCTAAGAAAAGACAAATGTCACTGGTAAGAATCACATCATTAAGTTGTAGGGCTTTTTCTGGTGAGTGACAACAACAATTGGTCACGCAGAAAAAGATGTACTGCATTTAGAGTTTGTGCTGATGGCATCAAAAGGATCTGTGAACAAATAAAAAATATTTTCTGAAATCAAATCAGCCAGTGTGCAGACGTAATTGACACAACTTGACATCGTATATCTTTGCAGCAATTTGGGATGAAGAGAAAAAAAGGCCTCAAGTGTGTCAAGTCAGCAATCTATATTCTGAAGTCAAATTTGAACTTTTATGTAACAAACAATTCTCTCAGGCATAAAGGCCCACACAAAACATTTTGTCCATAAAAAGTATGAGCCTGTTTTCTAAGTCAACAGAAATCTAGATCTATGTGCCTTAACAAGCAAACCTCAGAACACAGTATTCTCGATCTGCTTGGTGCCAAAACAGGCATTAAGCGTTAAAATGTTATTCACAATGATCCTTTCATATGATGTGTCCAAGAATGTGTGCACTCACCTTGGCGAACAGACTTGGCCAGAAGGGCTCCACAGTCACACCAGCAGCCTTGATGAGAGCATTGAGCTTGTCCTCCTGCAAAACAAAAACAACAACTGTTACCCGGTTGATCATTACATTAAAGTTCTGACAGAATGCAAATTCATCAGTACAAGCAGGAAAAACAAAATCAAAGCACAAGGGAAGTTTGTTTTTTCTTTTTGTACATGTTCTTGAATGCACTACTTATTTAAGCAGGCATTTCTAATAGACTGATGGGAATCAAACTAGAAGTCATTTGATTATCAGGGAATTTATTCAACTTTATCTAACAGAAACACGTAGCTTCAAGCTCTGGCTTTGTAAATGTGATGTTAGCTGCTGTTGTGTCACCTTAATGTGATTACCTCTACATCAGGTGTTGATTAACACAAACTACAAGACAATTAGTAAATTGAATGCAACACTATCAGAGCTTCTTTCTACCTCAACACATTCCCCCGGTTACTCACTTGCTATTTTATTATTATTTATTAGCACACAAGAATACATCGAAATAGGATTAACAAAAACATAAAGGTGTGTCAGGAGAGGTCAAGAAGCCAACAGGCTTATCCAAGAGACCTCACCTCTTAAGAGACAAATAAATCAACTAAACAAATCCAATTACACAATTTCAAAACAAAATTAAATATAAACACATATAGTAACCTGTACACGTGTTCATACACACACACATACAGTAGAAAGACTGAGCATGTTAACCCTCTATCAGCTAAATGAAACAGGCACTGATCTATTAAAAGTGAAGTGTATGAGTGAGTTGGTGCCATGTCTAATAATGACTTTGTCTTCTTTAAGCAACAGTTTACACTGCATGTTGATGTTGTGCAGCAACCACGTGCATCATTCCTGTACAGGTAACTTCACAAAGTGGCTCCAAAGTCATGAATGAAACCCAGCAGGAATACCTTTTTAAACATTACTGTATTTACAAACATGACTCTTTATTCTTCTTTTAAGCATCGTTAGCTGATAGTCATTAGCTTAGCATTAGGTGACACCTGTCAGTTTAGTGTGTCGTTTCTGTAACTATTCATGAGGTTTTAAATATGTGTAGCATTAATAACAACATTCACATGTTTCTTCCTACATTTCTGAACAAGGAGAAAAGACTCTCCGGATACAGAAACATGTTTTACCAGCAGCATTAAACATGCCGCCATTTTAGCCGGTACATTGGATTGATCGCACCAATGTTTCCAGATATTAATTTTATAATAGACAGGTGACTAATACAGAATAATTAACATGTCACGGTGTTAATTTCGTGATTTCCTCGTTAGTTCATGATTTCTAAAAGGTCCATTTGAGAGGTATTGTCAGTTCTGTCAGGGGTAAACCGGGACACTTACGGTGACGGTGACTTCATCGTCGTGGAGGATCAGAGCAGAGTAAATACAAGCGAGCTCGGACACGGAGGCCATTGTAGAGTTAAGATTTTATCTTTGTAGCGTCGGATGCCTAAATTTAACGGTGCTAGTCGCCGGATTGCAGACCTTAGCTTCGGGTGAAGGACCGAGCACCTTAGGCACGTTTACGTCTAACAGCGGAAAGGGAAGTAGTAGGGCGGGAACTTGTTATATATACTTTGCGTCAGCGGCAGCGTGCCCTCGACGTACATACGCAGAGTATGACGTCAGACGTATCTTGAATCCACTAATACTTTCAGTACAACAGAGATTTAATTAATAATTCCAAAGGCTAATTTAATGCTGGTCATTTATATACATAATATGTTTTACCCTCATTAATTATACATATGGAGTAACAAAGATAATTGTTTTAGAGGTTATTCACTATAAGTATTGTTTTAACAATGACTATACACCTACTTGTTGGTAAATTGTTTAACAAGGAGGCTCAGTTGTTTACTTATGAATATTGTTTATCGGAATATAATGTCCCAATGCTCGCTAGGAATATGCTGATTTTATTTATTTTTTCTGGTGTAAAAATCTTTTTATGAGCTGCTACTACAGAGTTTGAACATCAAAATATTTTGAAGAATTGTTTACAAGTAATGCAGATCATTTTTTAAGATCAAAAACCAATAACAAGTGTATAAGTGAAATCATTCAGAATAACACTTATAGTAAAACTGCGTCTTTATTTGTTTGGAATGGTTTGTTTGATATTGACTGGAAGGAAATTCGGTTTGTAACCCAGGAAATATTTCATCTCAGGTGCAAGAAGTCAAACTGGAAGTTTTACACAGGTGATATCCGGATCCTTCATTTTCTTTTTTTTGTAAAATATTGGCTAAACGCTGTCCCTCTTTGCTTATTTTGTCAGAAACCAAGAGAAAACAATACATTAGATTTTCTGGGATCGCTTCTGAAGGCATTTAAGAGCGACCCAAAATGTAATAACTGGTTTATAATGTAAAAGAGCTGAGCCTGAAACGCAAGAACTTTTTGCCCAAAATGTAACGAGTCGTTACAACATGTAAGAAGTTATTAGAGTGAGTGAGACAATAATTTATGGATTAAATTATTGTTTCAATGTAGAGTGTAGTATCACTTATAATAATGCCCCTGTCCCCATATTTTATAACTTTATAAATTGACTGTTTGGATGTAAATGTTTATTTTAACACACCTGACTACCTGAGCTTAAAATAAATAGGCCAACAAAATAGATAATATGGGGAAAATAAGATCTAAATGAGGACATCCGAGCTCATCAAACCTACAGACTGAAACACATTTTGTTCACAAATTTGACACTTTTTTTTAGTTTCTGCTGTCATCATGACTCAAAACCACAAAAAATGTGTACAGAAAAAAAGTCCAGAAGTTTCAAATCAATTCAGAGCAAAGAATATGTTGGGTCAGTCAATTTTATTTCATCTCCAATCACAAAAACATTACAATAAGCAAAACTTCAACGCAAATTTCTAGTAAATCTCTCTTGGGCTGTTTAACAACAGGAAAAGAAAACCTGTACTAGATCTTTGTGCACAGACCTAATCCTGATATCTGAACACGGTGTACGCCGATTCCAAGGGAAAGTCTTTTTATAAAAAAAAAATCTAAGATATAACATTTGAACTACATCAGAAAATGGACGTGACTGAAAAACCAAACGTTTTAATACTTTCCTCAAGTTTAACTATTTCACGTTTTCCCCACAATGTCAGTGTTTATTTATAAAAAACATCAGTTTATGGTGAACATTCAAAGTTCAAAGAATAATTCTCACATTTGGCACTATAATAGATTCCATGCCCCGATATGTAAAAAATACTCCAGCAGGTAAAAGAGTGGACGGAGCAGACGGTATGGCTTTGAGTGGTCCCTTGTGTTAGCGTGTGATGAATCATTAAAGTCATTAAAGGTGTGGACAGAGTTCAATCAAACAGATTCTTCAATGATCAGGTTTAAAATTATATTATATTAAGGCAATATAACCCCATCTCCATAGCAACACATCAAATTCTTCAGCCTGATGCTACTGCTTTTCAAGAAGTTCTTCCTCTTCGCCATGGCAACTAGTCAGAATCATCTTCTTCTCTATATATGTGCATAGATGGATGATCTGTTCCATCAAATCTGAATAGTTCAAAGTAATGTATTTCAAATATGTTTCTTTTTTCTTACCTTTCAGTTGTGTTTCCTCTGACTACTGCTTCAGATATTTTCAGCTCATACTCAATACTCTCTCTCCTGTCACTCTGGAATGTGTCCTTTTGTTTACATGAGTTCACTTTCTCGACATTTACACTTGAGTTCATTTAGGAGTAACATTTTGAAATGTCAACACATTGATCTGTTCTCAGTGATAGAAGGTGAACAGTCTTTTTCAGTGTGCAATAATAAAACCTTCTAGGATCTCACTTTATAAATGATACTTCAAGAATATTAAACTGAACTATACAACCTCTGTAACAATTCTGATAGTCTGTACCCACCTCAGCTCTTACATTGTATTACATTTACTCTAATCATTAGTTTCAAATTTACTATGATGTCCAGCACATGGAATCCTTATGTCAGCTCCTTGTCATCTGTAAACAAGGGAATGTTTCAAAGTATAATAATCTATTCTAGGGGATAATTTTATGACTGAGATGTGGCCATGAATAGACACTGTAGAAGTTTGAGGAACTTCACCAGTGTGCTCTTATACACTAAAGCCAAGAGATGTCAGACCTGAAGGTGACATGGTCGTAGCTGTGAGCCCGGTATGTTCAAGATTTGGCCTCCCAAAACACAAGATGTTCTCCTCTGGACAGCAAAAAAGCAGCTGTTCAGAAGTTGTCCATTTCACTATTTTGACTTTGAGACAAGGAAAAAATTCAATGACCACAGGGGTGTTGATGAATCTGGTCCAACTCAACTTGTTGATGGGAAGCAAAACACCTTTCCTGCAGAGTGTCAAACTAGCTGATATAACACCAAACAGGATCAATGGATACCAGTGAACTGTAGAAAAAAAAACCCACAGGTACCATAACAACCAGTCTGTCCTCGTTAGTCCTTGTGTTTCTTTCCTTTAGGCTTTTCATCATATGAAACTCCATATTCATTAATCCTTGTTTTGTCCACTGGGTAGAGCCTAAGGAGAGAGAGAGGGAGTTAAAGGTTAAATGTAAATGTTTGGTGAGTATCGGTCTGCATGTTTTTTTGTGCACGTGTGTGTGTGTGTGTGTGTGTGTGTGTGTGTGTGTGTGTGTGTGTGTGTGTGTGTGTACCATCTCTGGTAGAGGTAAATAAGAAACACCACATCGTCTCTGAAACAGGCCAGTCTGTGGGATGTTGGCATGGTGATGATGAAGGCAAACACATCGTCGATGAACGTATTGAATGCCTGGCAGACAAAAATTAATATCAAGTCATTAATTTAATAAACAACAACAACACCTTTTGAGAATATTCACAGGAAGTGTCTTGAAGTCAGTCATCAATGTCTGTGGTTACATCAAATATATTTCAATATCTCTCAACCACAAAGTTGAAAACTACACATGCACATTAAACATTTGGTGAATGCTTATTAATTATTCAAACATATGAAACTGAACTCCCTATAATAAGTGAATAAGGGAGATTTAAGTGGAGTCGTTTTCTCACCTTGTACATGAAGGCTTTCCAGGGCAGGTGGGCCACAGATTTCAGCTGTTGAATGAAGCACAAGTCAGTGGACTGATGACCAGTGAACAGAAACCTTTTCAATTCATTCCTGTGTTTTTTCTCTCTGCAGTAACACTTTTTAATGAATACATTCTACACATTACCACACATTTAAATCTTAAGACAAGTAAGACCAGAAACTGACCTTATAGTTGACAAACAGCTGAGGAAGCATGAAGAGAAAGCCAAAGGCGTACACACCTGAAACAGTCAAGAACATGTTAGGAAGCTTTTTATCAATGAAAAAACACAAGATGGTATAAAACATATAATCCTGTATATATACAGTGGTTAATGTATTTGATCAAAACAGAGATTATCTATAAAAACGTACCGTTGACTAAACTGTTGATCAACCACGAGTACCAACTACAACAGGGACAGAATCAGAGAGGGAGATAAAGGTTGAATAAGTAATGAGGATGAATACATCAGTATCACATGAAAGGTAATCATATCATCAAAACTTTGTGTTACATGTCACGTCCCCACACTGACCCTTACCTCTTGTATCGTAGAAATACTAGCGCGTACACAGCCCCACCAATACACAGTGGGTACAAGAGGTATGAGAGATACTTCATGGCCTACAGAGAAACACAGGAAGCATAACTATTAGTTTATATCCAGTTCAGACAAATTATAAAAGTTTGATTGATTAATAATCAGGTTCTAAAACATTCATTAAACAATTACAGACTATACAGGAGGGCGTTTCTACAGCTTGTGATTTTAACTGTCCCTTTAAAGCATCTAATAATAATACTGTCCTGGTAGAATATTAGGGATTAAGTGGAATCATAGTACATGTTAGTGAGTATAAAGTGTCTTACCAGAGTGTCGTACTCTCCTGTTCTCCTCTCAGATTCATCCAACTTCCCAAACTGTCACACGGAAACAAAAGGAACAAATACACACATAGATGTTCTCTTAGTGCATGTCATACTATCTATCTGTATGGACATGGTCTGAATTGTTGCAAAAAATACTGTGGATGTTAAAGAGCCCATATTATGCCCTTTTTGGGGTTCATATATTTAATCTATGTTCCTACTTTTGTACGTTCACAATAGATAAAGTCTGAAAAAAGTGTCTGTTTTCATGTGCTGCTCCTCCTTGCTCCCTCTACGCTCTGAGTCCGTCAGCTGCACTCTGTTGAGCCCACACTGTTAGACCCCACGTGGGCCAAGTCTGCTCTGATTGGTCTGCCGATCCGCTCTGTCGTTATTGGTCAGTTTCTCAGCACGTTTCTCGGAAATTTCAACATGAGCTGCTGGGCTTGCCACAACGAGCCAATGGGCTTAGATCAGTGATCTCACACTGTCAATGAAGTCAGACTGACACATTTTTATGGAGGGGGGCTTGAACCGAGCGTTACATGCAGCTAATGCTACAGCTAACAGGAGGACGTAGGAGAAGCTGTGTTTACGCAGACTTTGAATTTTTGCACATAGATGTGCCTAAACATGCACAGGACACTTGGAAAATACAAAGAGCATATAAAACCAGAAAAAGCAGAATATGGGAGATGTTCATTGAAAACACCCAATTACAGAATTTACAATTTCAAAACAAGGCCAATCCTGTTATGTGTTATAGGAGCATTATTCTCCCCACACAAACACATTTCAAACTTTTCTTTAAGGTCGAGTACCTTCGGTCTCCTTTCAGTTTCATGCGACACAATCGTTAAAAACAGACTCTCATATAGCAGCATGTACTTTACAGTAAGTCCAAAATGTGTTCACCATTAACAAAAAGTTAACACACACACACACACACACATACCAGGAATGTTGGTTTTCCTCCTCTCCAGGAAACCTGGATCTTTAAGGCCTTCTTTACTTTCCATACCTACAATGACAAATCATTCCAAAAACATGTTTAGGCATTAATAAAAGTATAATAGAAATATATTCTGCTAAACTCAACAACAGAATATTCTTTTCATTTCTTACAGAAGTAAAGCACAAAAAATAATTTAATTCCAAGGTAAATGTAGATTCTCCTTACAGAGACTTCAAGCACTTTTTGGGTAAATGGTTGGAGTTTCTCTACATGTGTACGTGTTGTGAACGTATGTAGCAGTGCATGTGTGTGTATGCGTTTCCAGTCTCTGTGCACTTACTTCAATGATTGAGCCAACGCCAGCAGGTATGAGAACAAGCAGGCTGGTTTGCTCGTCGAACAAATAGAGGAAAATCACTATGGTGCTGAAACATCTCCAGAGCACTGAAAAACCAAACACATGTTCAAAATGTTACACTCACGTCTCTGATCAACCTATTGTTAAAAAATCAGCTGGTCCCGACTGAATCCTAACACTTGAAGTCCATCACATTCTGTCTAATCAGATCTTGTTGTATGTTCGACTGTAATAACCCCAAAATGACCTCGTACTGGATGACCCATGGATTTACATTGTTACACTACCGATGCATAGTGTGACGCTGCATTGTTTTCTTTTTCTGTTCAATACTGAGGTTCGTTTTAATGAGTGTGTCGGCAGATTACCAGAACAAAGCATCCTACCTGCTTTGCTGGACATTCCCACCATGCTTTTCTTCTGCTTCCAGAAGCTGATGTCATTCTTGAATGCCAGGAAGTCAAAAAGAAGCTGAAAAGAAAAGACAGATAAACGACTCTTATCTATCATTTAGTTTTATGAAGGTGCCTTTGCTCATATTTTTAAAGGAAAAAGGGGGTAAAAGTTGGATTAACAGACCCATTTCCTAAAGCAGACACTGTGCAGACTGACTGTTTCAAATCCATCATCACTGTCATAAAAGAATAACTACACCAGACTAAAGGATTGTAGGAAAAGATGTCGTTTGGACAATTGAGCTTTTTTTTTATGGACTGGATCGTAAGGTCAACATGAAAGCAAAATCAACAGTCTAACCATACATTCATTCAGGCCCTGTTATGTGTCAAGAAACCAAAAATAACAGTTGTGGGCTTTATTCTGTTAAGAGTGTGATGAGTTGTGGAGAGTTTAGACTTACATGAAAAGCAGCAACAAAGAATGTAAGAGCCAGGAAGTACAGGTTTGTATCGACAAAGATTCCTTTAATCTCATCAGCATCCTTTTCTGTGAAACCTGCAACACATAAGGCAAAGCATGCATAGTATGAGAGCACAAGGCTTCATCACTGAGAGTGTACCGTTTGTGTGTGTTGTAGAGATAAGAGTTGTGCATACCAAACTGCTGCAGGGAGTAAACAGCGTCTTGCATGTGAATCCAGAATCGCAGTCTCCCGAGAGATATCGAGTCATAGGCGATGGTCAGAGGAAGCTCCATGGAGGTGCTGTTGACTTCCTTTAAACACACACACACACACACACTTTTACATTTTCAGCGTTTAAACGGCTGGTGTTCTGTTCTTTTTTTCTAAAATGTTCAAATGCAATTAGAGATGATTTTTAATGATATAATAACTGTTTTTAAAGCGTTATGGCCTTCAGATTTCACACTTCACTTTTGATATTCAGGTAAGGAAAGCGTTGTGCTTTTGGCAGTAAGCTACGCTGGGCTGGGGTTAGTGAAAACACATTAACAAAAATTTGGTTTATCGTGACAACAGCAAATTATTGGATTAAGCATTTGCATGCAAGTGAGAGCTTACCACAAGGTCCTTGACCCGGTTGCTGAGCTCGTCAACAAACAGCAGAGGTAGATAAACCATCTTCTTAACATTCGGGGCTCTGGAAAACAGATGAAAAAAAACAAAACATCATCTGATGCTTCTGGATTCAAATTAAAGGATGTTGTGGACATCCTGTCCATACAGTTCTTCTTTGTAATTCATTAAAACAATCTGCAGCAATGAAATGTACCAGCATGCATTGTGTTTAAGGCCATCAACAGTTTCCAAGCTTTTTCTTTGTACAGGTTTGTGAGTGCAGCTTACAATCTGAGGTGTCTGTGGACATCACTGGGCAGGTATTCTTTGTCGAACAGGAAGTGATCGCCGACGATGTTGAATGTCAGGCGGGAGCGCCAGTGGGAAACTGGGTGATCTGAAGCGTCCCCTGCTGCAGGTTTACCATGACGCCGTTTCTTCTGCTGGGCTTCTTCTTTCTGGCCCTGTGTTTTCACACAGACAGACGCATATGAGGACTTTTAAATATTAAATCAAATGACAGGTGCTTAACAACATTATACTTTTATTACAATACAAGTCAAACACATTCTGTAGGTAAAAATAACAATAAAAGTCTATTACAAGGAGGACAGACTGTATGTACATAATGTGTAAATAATGAGAATAAAATCAAGACTTAACCATACATAAAGGTAGAGTTCAAAGCAGTTGGCAGTATATATAACACATTGATGTATCTACTCTAAAATAACATGATACCACTTTCTTTCAAATTCTGGGATAAGTGTGTACCTGTGTTTGGTCCTCCCCGGATATCAAAGAGATTTCAGGCTGTTTGGGGACCATGTACGTTGTGAGCTGAGCCACCAGGTGGACCACATTTTGATCTTGCCATGGAGTGAAGCCAGCCCGATGGACAAATATCAGCGCGTATAAAGTTCCATTGTTGCGTGTCTTCTTGGGCAGGGAGACGTTCACTATCCTGAAGGAAAAATGAGAGAAAGACGACAGGAGACACAAAAGAAGGAGGGAGTTTTGGATATTGATGTACTGTGTATCAGATTACAGCTTATGGGTGAAAATGATATTGCACAATTTTTCCTTGGAAAATCTTATGAGTCAACTTTGCTGATTGACCCTCTACATTTCATCACCTTTTCTAGTGAAATGTGGGCTGAAGCGTATTAAACATCTGTTTTAGCACCATCCATTCATCTAAATGATGGACAGCTTTGAATCTGGCTTAACCAATCAGATCAAAGAACAGAGAGAATTCATTTCTCATGCATGTCTTAAAGTTCTGAGTGACAGACTGACCTCTCAAACTTGATGTTGACATCAAACTCTTCCTCTTTGTGGATCAGGGTATGTCCTCCTTCTGCATTGGGCCGCAGAGCAGTGTAGATACTCAACTGGAGACACACACAGAGATACAAAGACATTATTCCAATCACTCAGTATAACACTGGCCTCAGTCCCACCCACATACACAGCTGAACAGCAAACGTAGTGAACCCAAATTGAAATCCATCGACTCCTCCACATGAACTGACCTGTAGTTTCGGGTTACTTGCCAGGAAGGGTGTGATACAGTTGTCCCCATCAGGGCTGTCACAGGGTTTAGTGTACACTATCCCGTACATTACCCAGCAGGTGTGGAGCACGTACACTACAAACACCCCCACGATCACGGTGGTGAACGATGTTTTCAGGAACATGATGGTGGTGTTGTCTTGTTACGTCGTCCCTGAAAATTCACTGTGGAACAAGGCCATATGTCTGAAAATGAGGAGTCAGAGACAGATCATTTTATGTGATATCCTGGAGGGGGGGAACAGACCGACTGTGTTCATCCGATTTCTGAGTTCCCTCACCTTACATCTGGCTGATTACCAACTTGTTATCTGGCAAATTAAATGATATTTCATAGCAAAAATATGACATCACAAACAGCCATCATATTTGACTTCCCAAAATAATGGCATCAATACCTTACTATGACAGCCTTTACATTTCTGGGAAGGATTTCCTCTTGATTTAACAAGCCTGGCTGCAGGCATTTTCTACTATTTGGAGACAAAATTCTTACAGCTGGAGCACAGATGCTCATTGATAAAGCCTGGATAACAGTAGTTGTGCATTAAAGTCATGCAAGAGATATTGAATTGTACTTTGTACTGAGGTCACTTTTCTTCTTCCACTAAAAAAAACATTTGTAAATGTTTAATAAATGACCTTATTGAGATGCCCACACTGTATTTAACATCAAGTCTTTACAACATACTATCAATTCTACAATTCACTTAGCAGACGCTTTTATCCAAAGCGAGTAAGAACAACACAAGCAAGGATCTAGAAAAAGGGGAACAATGTCAGTAAGAGCAAACGATCAGCTTTGAGTCTGATTGGACACACAGGTGCTGACAGGAAGTGACCAGAGACAAAGCACAACATTGAGGGCAGTTCTTGAGAGCTCTAATCAGTATAGAAACCATCTTATAAGTCATCGTTATCAAACAGAAACCATCGTCATTACCATCATCATCATCAATAATATGGAGACCATCATCATTAAGTTAGTAGGTATTCATAAAGAGCTGGAACTATCATGCCTGAAAACAAGTCTCCGTCAAGCCTTTCCATAAGTATGACAGATATCTGGTCAAGAATAGATTCCACAGCCTGCTCTACCAGTTCTGTAGTTGCTGAACTAAAGTTTAAAGGTAAAAAAAAAAGGTAAAAGAAAGAGAGGCCATGTCACACCATGAATAACATAGGATGTTGGTGATAAGTGTAAAGGCCTGAAACTGACAGAGAAAGAAAACACATTTTCAAATAGATTTGAGCCACACTTATTTCAAGGTACGTTTTATTGTGACCCACACCTTTATTCAATTACTTTAAATCACTAGTTATACTAATATATAACCATTTAATTGTTTGTCCAAAGGCTAGATAATATGAAGTCAATCACTTGCTGTCATGTAATCCACATGGTCGCCTCTTTATATTTTCCTGCACGTCATAATCGGAGGATTTGTTTTCAGTCTACCTAGCGACTACTTTTCAAAATCTCAAGGTTTTGTATTTATTTTTGTCGCATTCGTTGCAGGATATGAAACATTTAAAATACATATCTTAAAGTTAAACATACCGGTGTTAAACTTGACTGGCTGGCTGTGACAGGAAACTCTCGGCGCGGTCATTGGCTGGCTCTCCGTCCTCTCACTTCACAGATGTTTCCTGGCATTTAGACGCGGCGACATCGTCACTTTAAAACAGTCCACTGGAAGAAGCTGCAAACAGCTGCTGTCTACACGACTGGCCTCCCCATTCAAGACGAGAAACAGGTCTACACAGTGATTGGAAAGTGGAAGCGTGAGGTGGGTTAAAGAGAGCTGTATTTCCGCCATTCACTTCCTGGTTGGCACTGATCGCGAGATTTGATTAGTTGTATCGCGAGATTTCACGTGATAGAGCTCCAAGGTAGTACTTCAGGGTTTTTATTGCTCATGGCTTTAGGTGTTAAGTCGACAAGTCCAATAATCTTCGATTCTCTATGTTGTTTACTTTTTTTTTTTGTATAATTCCAGCTGACTTATTCCCAGGTTGAAAGTTCATGCTCTCTACTAATTCTGTCTCCACATGAATGTAAACTTATGATTAATATGCTTGGAATAAAGTAGCTATTTGTTGACTGTGACGATGACACGTCCCTTCTTTTTTCAGAGGTCGTCTCGTATCTGTCTGTGTGTCCCATCTCTCCCTTGTCAAAACAGGCTGCCGTGACCCGGATTCGAACCGGGGTTGCTGCGGCCACAACGCAGAGTACTAACCACTATACGATCACGGCTGGCCAACTCGACAGACTCATCTGTTCCCCGAACTTTTCTGGCATTGACGCTCCTGGGTGGATGTTTTAAGGTTTCTTTAACTCTTTCTGAAGTTTTTCAGATTCAGTTTAGGTCTGTGTCCTTTATTTTCTTGCATTAATAGATTCCTTCTATCTGTGTTATCTATATAACCACAATGAAATGGCCATTTATTTGTTTTAATTATTCATTTTTAGTCATATTTCTGTAACTTTTGACTTCTATCATGATTGTGTTTTTGCTATTGTTTTCATGTTTACCATTAACAAATATTTAAATTTGGACCATTAATGTATTAATCTATTTATTTTGGCTCAGAGATGAATTAATCTCTGAGCCACACAATGGAACTAATTTTCTGAAAAAACGTCCAAATGCACCTTAAAATACATGTTTAACCTGTATTTAACCCTTAACATCTCTGAATCAAAATAAACAATCAATAGTACTCAGGCCACAATGGGAAACAAAAATGACATGCTACAGGAAACACATGATTGTTGACAGAGTGACTCAAGTAAAAAGTATTCTTCCATCCCCTGTCTGTGATGGATGTAAAGAGCTGCTGACTCGTGACTTGTGTTTGAACGATGCATTCATTCATATTCTTATCTGTTCAGCCATAAACTCATCTTTTTGTCTCTTGCCTTTAAAACTAAAGTAAACTATTTGATTTGTCCATAAGAAACATACATTTGTGATAAAAGGGCTTAAAATTCCCTATTCTCGCAAGCGCCATGTCAATTTTGTTTGGCTACTGTGAAAAACAAACACATCTTTTACGAGGCAGAAAACAGTGTGGTGGATGCCATCCCTGTTTGTGAATCTTTAACATTATGTTAGCTGTGTTTATGCTGTTAATCCAAGCCCATCAATCTTGGGTTAAATTCAGTATTCCTGTTGTGAATTCTAGAGGGGAGATTATGCTGCACCTTTTCCAGCTCCAGTTGCTGTTTTATTGATTTTGTTCTGATTTTACAGTAATCAAAGACACATGTTATACAATAACACATAGGCTGTGACTATATCAGAGAGGGCAAGAACAATAACTTTGTCAATACAGCCTCACAGGGTGTTCCACTAGCCTGCGGGTAACATGATTTAACAGCTGATATCAATTTTTTCTTGCGCAACCTCAGGGCAAAAACAATAATACAGTTCCTAGGTGATTTCTTCTTGCTTTCAATCTACTTCTGAAATATATTATACTACTTTCTGTATTTACAGAAATCTGCATCAGTCATGGTGACATTTTACCAGAAACTGTCCCCAAATGGCATCCTTACCTTCTGTAATCATTCCAGTGTTAAAGTGAGTTCAGGCTATAGTGTCTGTGACCGCTGCAGTCATGATGAAGTCCTTGTGTCCGTGATGAGTTATTTCAGGGCTTATCATGCCTTTGTAGTTTAGAGACGGTGGATAGAGTCAGAAAGTGGGGAGAGAGCGGGAAAGGAGCCACAGGTTGAATTTGAACCTGGGCTGCCTATTTTTGAGGACTTGAGCCTCTGTACAGGGGGTGCATGTACTAACTACTAGACTACCGCTGCCCTCTTGTGTCTGCTATTATCAGTACATTTATAATCTGTCCAATAACTCCTGTAAAAGCCTAATGCCTCTGCCGTCAGAATATCATACCTGAAGCTTCAGGTCAAACTTCCCACCTTAACGTCATTTCATAAATCAAAAGGTGATATTAAACTTCATTCATCTACATTGACCCCACACAGAGAGAGCTGTTGATCCATCCCCTAACAATCAACTCACTGTACAGCAATGAATGCTTCTCCAGCTGCCTATATGTCAGAAAGCCTCAGAATAAGGATGACCAGATCCTTAGGCCTCACGCATAATGATCGTTGTTTTAAATCATAGCAGAAAAATAATCCAGGAAAATTTAAAAGGCAAAGATGTAACGACAAAGAAGACCCTAGAAATAATCCTGTTGTAATTTATATAACTAGCCTTTAATAATCCTTCATTGTCATTTGTTTTTTTCTTTTGTATTACTTTATTATCTTTCCAAGTTTGAAAATAACCCTGTCTGCTGAGCCATTTTTTATGCACTGAAGCCAATAAACAGCAATTCACTATCCATTTAGCTTGAGACTGTATATTTTCTTATAGGAGCTGCAATATAGCACCATTTTGAGGTCATAGTGATTCAGATTTTTACGTTATTTAAGAATGTATTTCTACTTTATGTCAGAGGAAAATATTGCATTTATAGGCCGAAACATTTTTTGGCTAGATCAAGCCTTCTTTTAGATTAACATGTGACCTAAAAAAACATGAGATGTACTTATAAAATAGACTATATTGGCTTATTTTACCTTGAGGCCGCTTAAGAAAAACTTGATCCCTGGTGCATTCCAAATAGCAGCAGTTTCTCTGCCTAAGAAGTTTATTACTTTAATATATTTTTAACACCAAGCTGTTTAAACTTCCACAATTATACTACTACAGCTATATTCGACTGTTTTACAACTGCTAAAGAATCAGAATAATTCTTCAAAAATTGTCAAAATAGTGTCAATGTCCTTGTTTATCATACAATGTAATACTTGTCCAAGTTTGGTAATGATTAAACTTAAAGTGAAACTCTTGAAGTGAGTCTGGATACATCTGTGTTTCTCAGCCTTGGGTTAAACTATATGTCAGGAATATTACAGAAAAGAGAGATGTAAAGAAAAATGGCATCATTTGTAACATATGACCGACAGAAGGGCAGAACTTTCCCCTGATGTATTCCATACTCATTTACTTGTCAGATGTGATTAAATGGCTCCAGCCCATTCAACAGCACTGATGTACTCGTTCTCTTCCCTCAGGAAACCTGAGTCACATACATTAGCTAAATTGCTGAATTTTTGGGTCCCGCATGAACCAGAGAGCAGGAGGAGCTCCTCAGGCAGATTCTTAACTCTTCCTCAGTCACAGTGTGAGACTAAAGGTGACCGCACTCCTTACTCTCAGGGCTCAAAGACTGGGAAACAGCCAGAGGGAATGTTACGCAAGTGGATTTAGTGTCTTTTAAATCACTTCTCTTTTAACATTTATTCATAGAATAATCTGTCACTTTATTTTTCAGTGCCAGGTTCAATCTATGTTCTCTGATACACTGGTGGAATGTAACTGAGTTCATTAAGGACAATGTTGTGCTTTTTACTCTACTCTATTTCTTTAGAAGCTGTGTTTTTTTAAGATGCTGATTGTCAGTATGCAGTATTTGTGGAGATGGTCAAAGTCTCCTACAGCAGAGAGTCCTGCCAGGTGTACATTGTAAAATATCTATGCGACACATTCATGGTAGAGACAAGGTACAGTTTTTAAACAAAAACTATTAGAGGTGGGGAAAAAAATCGATTTATGTAAAAAAATAATAATAATTGAGATTCTTCCATTCTAAGATTTAAAATCGATTCATATCTTCCAAAAATCGATTTTTATTTGTATAATTATTTCTTTTTTAAAGTGCTAATGCTAGCTCTCTAACTCAGTAGAATGCCAAATGGAGCAGCAAGAAATTCAGCCAGTCTCATAAATGACTGGAGTAGATCCTGAAGTATTAATTCATAAACAGACTTCATGGATCCATGAATCCAAAATCGATTCTGAATCGAATCATAACCCCAAGAATTGAAATCGAATCGAATCCTCAGACACCCAAAGATTTCCAGCCCTAAAAATTAAACTATATCTCTGTTAAGAATCATTCTGCTGCACATATATCAGGTGATTTCAAGTTTTATGTAAAATGTTCTTTTTCGGTTCACTGATGATGCTTTCTCATCAGTTAGATTTGGGGGAGTTGTAGTGGAGTATAATGTAGCACTTCTACTTTGACTTCTTTTACACTTATTCAAACTCTGCTCCAGAATTATTTTCTGCAACACAGCTTGGTTTTGTTGTTTACACATTTGTTTCCATGTCAGTTTTTGCTGTGTTACTTTCTTTCTTACAACAATGCCAAATGAGTTTGATTTAGTGATTCATTAAATTAAAGTTAAAGTATATAGATTGTTAAAATAATTGGGAGACATTTACATGGAACAATATGCAAAGGATCACTGACGTCATTAAGATTTTGAAATTAACCGTATACACCTACCTAAAGGCTACTTGAACTTTTAATTAGTGAAGATCTATTTCTTGTCATATGTTTATGGAGCTCTTTAAGAATATTCTTGACCTATGGTCTGTATCTGTTTGCAGACTGTTTATGTGAGATTTGCACTTTTTCTGCTTATTACTGAAAGTGCTGCAGAGAAATTTCCACTACTAGTAGGGTAAATAAATTCTGCCCTGACTTGTCTGTTTTCTGAACTAAAAATACAGCAAATACGTCCCTGAGCACTGTAATACAAACTCTAGGTCTCAAGCCCTTCTGAAAGTGTTAATAAAGTTTCAAAGTGAAAATGTGTAGAAGTTTGAAGTGGAATTTTTTAACACTAACCTTGTTGGCAGTAGTAAGACATTTCACCACTCAGTGGCGCTACTGCTTCATCTACAAAAAAAAAAACCACAGGCTTTAATTCTGTCTTCAACCATTCTGAGCCTGTG